TGCCTTTTCATCCCAGCAAATGAAGACCCCTAATATTGGATGAGGGGCACTAAGAGTGACAGCCGGGAGAAAAATGTTCATTTCTCAATATGAATTAGCACCAAACTCAGTCTGCCAAACTGGCAATCCTAGCCTGCAATAATAATAATACTAATTAAAAAAAAATCACTCTAAGAATCAAAAGAGCTCTGCCCTACAGGGCTTGAAAGAATAAGGTGCCTATTAGGAAAATGGGAAGTGAAAAAAGGAATGCTTTCAAATTATAGCTTGATCTTTCTCAGCAGTATTTGACTTGATAGAGATGTCCGATAAGCCAGGGAAATGTTAGAGTCCTCCAAAGTTATTTGATCTACGGGAATCTTTTGCTTTGGTACATTCATTTACTCATGCATTCTTCAGAAGCCTGTACAGTGTGAGTTGTATTACACTGGTTAATCATACATACATCTGTGACTCATTTTATCTTGATGGTTCTCTGGATCATTTTGAATACACAGTTTAGTTAGAATGTATTATTTACATCAGCTTCTCCCAGCCTAGCACCTTCCAAATGTTTTTAGCTATAATGCCCAGCAGCCCTGACCACCCTGCTGACTGGGGGTAATAGGAGCTATAGTCCGAAACATCTAGAAGGTACCACATTGGAGATGGCTAATTTCAGTGTTCACCTAGTCTTATCCTGAAAACACAGGTACCAGCTACATTTTATCTAAGTCCATTCTTGAAAATAAACACTTTTCATACAGCAACAATTGAGAGCCAGTGTAGTGTAGCAATTATAATGTTGGACCTGGACTTGGAAAGTTCAGGTTTTTGTCCCCACTCAGCCAAAAAGCTCATTGAGTGGCTTTCAGCCATTCACTGACTCTCAGCTTATCCTATGTCACAGGGTGCTGAGCAGGTAAAATAGAGAGGAGTATGTAAGAATTCCTTGCAGAAAAAAGCAGGATACAAATATTTAGAAACCTGCATAATAAGGTTTTATGGTCAAACCTTTACTGTAAATTCATGCACAAACATGCAGCACTCCACTGTCAAACTCCCAAGTCTTGCAGTGCTTCAGAATTTTAGGCTGTAATCATGTATCTTGTTGGACTGCAGCTCCCAACAGCCCCAGCCAGCCTGGTCATTCCTTAAGGATAATGGGCATTCAGCAAAATCTGAAGAGCCATGTGTTCTGCACCCCCACTATATACACTTACCTGGGAATTAATCTCATTGAGCATAGATGGAGGACTTACTTCTGAGTAAGCACCAGGATTGAACTGCTGGAAATTTGCCAATGCAAATGAGTTTCACACTTATGGACAGCCAGTAGGATCCTGCCCATATGATGTCTTCCTCCAGACACAGTTTATTAATGATAACCTCAAGTGGATGCTAAACAGATTTTAGCGTTTGCAGTGGATTAGCTATAAGGATTAGTGTGGAATTGGGCAGGGGGTCAGGACCTGCTTTTCCTTATCTGAACAAAAGTGGTATGAGTCTGCATATATAATATTTTTAAAGAAGAAACATCTGCTTTAATGTTGGATGGCCTTGGCTGCTTTAGTACTTTCCTAACATGTTCTCAAATCACCTTTTCTGCACCTACCTTGTCCTCTTTTCTCCATGTCTTGTGCCTTTATGAAGGTGCCCTGGATAACTAACCAGCACATCTTTCATTTCTAGCCTCTTGGGAAAGGGAACTAGATTTTATCTATCCAAAAAGGGTTCATTACTCTCCTGTGCCCTTCCCACTTCACATTTAGGTCTCCTACCAGCTATTTTAAAACCTGTTCCATTGCTTCTTCCCCAAATCACTCCTGTGTCTAAAAATGTAACATGGACAGTTTATGCATATCCTTTTTTAAGGCAGTGCATAGCTACTCTTAGATTCTCATTCTTCCTTAGTGCCAATTCACACAAACATCATATTCCTAACTTGATGACTTTAGCAATAATGGGATGACTTCTCGGATGGCTTATTCTCTTCTCTCTGGCCCACCAAAGCACTTGTTCTACTTAAATGTTCAGTATGACAAGACTTTCAGAATAAATTGTGTCATTCCAGGGCTAAAGGAACTCATCTGAAACTTGCATTGTAGTAGAAAGCTATGTTTTACTGTCTTGGCAATGGAGTCAAGATAAAACAGGCATGTTCTCTGTGGAACAAAGATCCCATTTCCCCCCTACAGTTTGTTTGTTTGTTTATTTATTTATTTAGACAGCTTATATGCCGCCCCCATTGCATAAGCCTCGAGGCAGCTTACAATCATTAAAATCCCATGTATAAATACAAAAAATTCATAGAATAAATAGAATACATAAAATAGTGGAAACAGCCTGGTTTAAAATCAACAAATAAACCTTAACAATTAAAATAGTGTTTAAATAAAAAGGTCTTGGCCTGGCGCCAAAAACTAGTTTGCTAGTTAAAACTGGAAAGATCCCATTTCCCTACATCAAAATCCCTACATCATCTATGTGGCTCGGGCTTTTCCAACTGGTCTCTCTGACTGTGATACCCAGGGAGGATTCTGCATCCTATTGTCTGTGGCTCTTTCCCACATCTTGGGAGCATACTTGGGAGTAAATTGGGAATCAGAAAAAGAGCATAGGAGAAGTTTGGTGTGTGGTTAGAATGATGGCCTGGGATTTGGGTTCATGTTGGACCTGGGTTCAAGTCCTTACTCAGTCATGAGGCTAACTGGGTGGCTTGGGCCAGTCATGGATTCTCCGTCTAGCCTACCTCACAGGGTTGTTCTGATGATTAAATGGAGGGGAAGAGAAGGATTATGTAAGCTACTTTGTGTTCCTTGCTGGAAAAGGTGGAATAAAAATACAATAAATAAAATAAACATAAAGAAAGGAAGCTGTGCCCTAAGGGAAATATGAAGTTGGGATTCACTTAGCTTGATTGTCTGAATAAATCCACGAGGTACCTGACTGAAGTTACTAACAAAGTGCATCATTTGCTAACAGTTTAGTTGTCACCTAGCTAGAATTTGCTAACAGTTTAGTTGTCACCTAGCTAGAATCCCTATAAACTTTTTAGTTCAATATCAAGGCTAGATATTTAATCTGAAATAGTTGTCAATAGACAAATAGCATGTTAAAATTAATATATGCTTTACTGCAGTTGCCATTTTGGTGTGCTTTAGCTCTTTGCAGATCTGTTTACAGAAACACCTGATAGAGCATCCCCCTAACTAATTTTATTTTCTGATTTTACCATGTGCAAGGTATGAATCAAAGATTGATTGATTGAACAATCAATCAAAGTTTGATTCTTTCATCCCATGACAGCTGATCATGTACTTTATGGCAGTTTATTTTTAGCAGACAGGTGAAGTTCACAGTTTCATTTAAAAAAAACACTCCCCTATGAATGATGCAGGATAATCAGCAAGAGAATATAAATAATCTTAGAACAACAGCCCTTAAGATAACAACCTCTGGATCTTGACTGAGTAAACAAGACAAGGATACGATCTGAGTTTTCCTTGTCGGCCTGATCCACAGAATCTCTTGATCACTTAGCCTACCTTTCACCTCCCACCGCATGGCTTTGCAGGTTCAGGAACAATAATACTGAGCTTCTGGTCTTTTGTGGGCAGGATGAGGGTGGGCTGAGATCATGAATTTGATGTCTTAGTATTTCAATGCCATTTTTACTTCTGATAGCTCCTATTTAAGTGATAAGATGGAAACTGTGTGAAGCTTGGATTACTTTTGCACTTGTCATGAGTTATCAATAATGCCTGTTATTTTTGTAGGAAGAATGTGGTCTGAAATAGGTGCCTCTTTAGTGGGTGCAGGATCCTTTATGCATTATGTCACCTGGCAACTCAATACTCTGTTGAAGGCTGGGGTTCAACCAGGTGCCACACTGCACGAAGTCTTTTTGTTCCTTAACCTATATTTAGCAGAGAAAAGGGGGACAAGGTGTCATTAGTTGCTCACGTATCTGTGATCTGTACAAAGATCCTTCTTCTAGTCCCCTCCAGCTGCTGCTGAAGTAGCCAGGCATCATAAAAGGGTTAGCTCCATTAGCAGATTCCTTGGGGCAAACCTGTGACCCGCTGCTAATGTTGGCTTTCAAGCCAGAGAGGAGAGGCAAGCTACCTTCTGCCTAAGAAATATCTACATAGAAGCAAACCACGGCTTGAGTTCTGTGGCAGGAGCTATTTGGTACTATGCTTTGAGCAGGGAGCAAATCGTTTTTGTTGATGGGGTTGGTGGTGCAGAGCGAGGATAAAGAAATCTAATATCTGAGCTTGGCTCAAGAGAAAGGTCTGTTTAAAAGTGGTTTGCTCTGGTTCTGAATAGAGAACCATATAGGGGTTAGAACAAAAAGTCTGAAAGGCAATACTTCCAGGTTCTGCTTATTAAAAAGGAAATATAGTCTAATGGTCTAATACAGCCCCACATTTCCAAATCCATTACGGACTCAATTGTGATTGAGTGCCATTTTCTTGATAGTAAGACAGTGTATAAATTGAATGAATAAATAAGAATGTCACCATTTCCTGTTTCTTTGAATTCAATTCTCATTATCACAAATTATAACAGCACGGTTGTTTGCAAGAAATAAAGCAGTAGGCACAGTTTAATTTCCATGTGATTGATTTAGGAATCTTCTTCAACCTGGTGTTCTTCAGTTGTTTTGGCCAAAATATCTGGAGATTATCAGGTTGTAGAGGGCTGGTTTAAGGACTGTAAGTTACTCTTGTTTTTTGAAGCAAAGGATGGATAAAGAAATGAATAGCTTTTCCTATATTTTAGAGCCTATGTTTTTTCAGGGTTTCAGAGGATCATATGCTAGTCAGTAGGTGGGCAGGCTGACTTGTTGGCTCTCAGGTTGGCTCATGTCTTCATTGGTGAGCAGACCTGTTGGGAGGCTGGCTCCCAAATCCATGTGTTATGGTCAGTCCTGTATGGGCTAATGCTTCCCGTGAAAAATTGGTCCCATGACTGTAGTATCCCATGACTTCACCTTCTTTGTCGCCATCCTGCAGAGCAACGATGCCTCAGGGAGTGCTTGGAATTGGCTGTACTTCATCCCCCTTATCATCATCGGATCCTTTTTTATGCTCAACCTTGTGCTGGGGGTGCTTTCTGGGTAAGTATACAGCACACCTACCCTAGACAAAGGCTCAATAATGGAGTATATAGTTGCTATGCTCAGCTCTGCAATGAAACTGAAATTTAATGGCAATTTGCAACTGTGACTTCTGGATTCATTCCTGCTTGTATTCCTCATGCATTCACTGCATGACCTGAGCCAACTCCATGTCTTGTTTTTCCTTCCTGTGTAATTTCTTGCAATCTGGCCAAACTTCTGCAAACTGTCCCATCTTTATCTACAGGGAGTTTGCCAAAGAAAGAGAGAGGGTGGAGAACCGGCGAGCATTTCTGAAGCTGAGAAGACAGCAGCAGATTGAACGTGAGCTTAATGGCTACATGGAGTGGATCTCCAAAGCAGGTGTGTACTTTCCTGTTTCTCTTGGTCTTAAACAGCATATTTTCCTGCTCCCAGCTGAATTCTCTATCTTTTCCCTTGGGATCTGAATTAAATATTTTACTCTCTAGTTTAAGTGTCACACTCTTTTTACATTATGTTGCTTTCCTTCATGACCAGCTAACTCAATGTTACAAGTTCAGTAGGATTCTGTCATGGGTACAGTATTGTTCAATAGATTTATAAACTGTTTGGATGAAGGAATAGAGATGATGATCATCAGATTTGTAGATGACACCAGCTAATATCTTAGAAGATAAGAAAATTCGGTTTGTTTATGATGGAAAACTGAGCCAAAACTAACAAGATTCATTTCAGCAGAAATAAATCCAAAGTTGTGCATTCAGGTAGGAAAAGTCAGATGCAGATAGAATGGGTTGAGAACACAACACATGGAAATGACCTATGGGCTTTTTCAGACAACCAGCTAAACATGCATCAGCAGTGTGATGCAGAGACTAAAAAATCTAAATTGTAGCAAGGTTAGTGTCCAGGTCAGAAGAAGTAATAGTGTCTCTCTATTCTGGTCAACACTCACCTGTAACACTGTGCCCACTTCTGAGCACTGCGATTTAGAATGGATGTCAACAAACTGGGGGAAAAAAGAGTAGGAACTGAGATATGTTTAGCCTGGAGAAGAGATAATTAAGAGTCAATATGATAGCCATCTTCAAATATTTGAAGAGCTGTCACATAGATGATGGATCAAATTTGCTTTCTGTTGCTCCAGAAGATAGGACCTGAACCATTGGGTCCAAGTTACAATGAAGGAGATTTCAACTAAGCATTAGGAAGAACTTCTAGATGTTATGAACTGTTTGACAGTGGAACAGACTGCCCTGGAAGGTGGTGGACTCTCCTTCATTAGAGGTTATTTTATTAATATATTTATTGAGTTTTGGTTTTAGTATCCATAATAACAAAACATATTTATAATCCCATAAAATCAAAGTAAGGTAGAACAAAAAGCTGGTAGAGTAGAAAAGTGAAGAGATATGGGTCAGCTTTGTAGGTTTTGCTCAATCCTTAACTTTCAGATTGCAAGGTTTAGGCATTCAGGTGAAACATTCGGCTTGGTGTTCAGGAACCATCCGATTTCTGTAATCCACAATATGCATCTTTTTCATGTATAGCAAGGATTTCTTTCTATCAGTGGACTACCTGACTATGTTTACCTTTTGATTATTTTAAAATGATACTTTTGGCTATCAGCAGAGGATGACTAATTGATTTCCATTGCCTTGAAGTAAGGTTCCATACATTTGAGAGATTGCTAGAACCAGGCTGATGTGAACAATGTCTTCTGTCCAGAATGTTAAAACGACAGGCCAGTACCAAGTCATGTGTATTAAGGAGTTTTCTAAGTCATTATACCACCAAACATTGGAGGAAGATGGCATATTTTTCTTAAGCATTCATGATGTAGATCAGAAGGTGCTACACAGTAAGTTTGGCTGCATGAGAAAGTAGTCTCAAATCTAACCCTGAAATTGTAATTGAAATTCAGCCTTTTTTGGAACGGAGTAGATTTAATTCTCATTTAGTTTTTTTAAATATACCATTCATTTCTGACCTTCTGAGATCTATTTTACTATATTCCAAAATACTCTTATAAGCAGTAATTGTGGACTTAGTTTTCTGTAAGGAACCAATTAATTCCTCTAGCAGTGCAAGAAGCACTGAAGCACTCTTAGCAGATGCTCTGTATATAAACTCCAACAGATGCTGAAGCCAAATGTACTGCCAAGTAGCACTAGACAGTTAATGATTCCTAATCTGCAATGCTGAACATTGTTTAAAAATAATTATCTAAATCTATGAACTAGTATAAAGTATACCAGTACAAAACTGGATTCTCTCATAAAGCTAATTTAGTGTGAGACTATGAATCAAATTGCAGTCAATGAGCCATTGCTTTCAAAGTTTCTCTTGCTGCCTAAATCATTAGTGAAGTCATTCCTTTTATATCTAAATCGTAGTCCCATTAGAAGTAAAAAAAGTTTCATTCCAAAACAACCTGTGAAGGAGTACTAAAAGATGTTTTTCAGTCTTAGTGCTGGGTAACAAATCGCCTTTATGATACAAAGTAGAATCTAGAAAATTAAATCTATCCTTTTAACTGGCATCTGCATTTTCAATTAAAAATGTGGAGGTGACAACCGCCAATACATTTCTGAAGAATTAAAACAGAAAAATCACTTCTGAAGCTTGGCGAAAAGTTCTTGAATATATATTTGGGATATATATAAAGAAATGCTAATTCATAAATTATTCATGGCAGGACACCCATTTTAAATATGTTAACCTTATTCCAAATATTTAAATAGAATGTGCCCATATTTCCAAGTGCCAGTACTATATTTATATTCAATTTAGGCATTTGTGAAATATCTCTAGACACCAATCTACAAAGATATTTTATCACTTCTAGGCATCACTGTATTTGCCAATTAATAACTTCTTTGGGTACTTACTATTATCTACAGGCATTAATTTGGATTTTGACCAATTAATATAATTAATCAAAAAATTGCCAAAGACATCAATTAATCTTATTAATTTCAGTATAAAAATAATAAATAGCAACAAATCATCTCTGTATAAAGCCATTTTATACTTCATGCACAAATTTGGAAATATCTCTGTTCTGCCTAAATGCAAATGCCTGAGGTTCCAAGCATGAACCAGATATTAAAGAGATGAAGGACATCCCTGCTATGTACCACTTCCCAAACTAAGAACTCTTAAAAGAATTAAATTTGTCAACACTAGTGACTCAGGAAAGAGATATAACATTTTAATTCATTTTAAATTTTTAATGGCAATCCAAATTTTCCCAAAGTCATAGACACACACTGTCAATATAATTTGTCAGTTGCTTTCTTACCATCATAAAATAATCACAGATGAATCTGTTCCTTTAGAAATCAGAGCAATCCGGTTTACTGTAAATTATGCATTATCTGCTCCCCATCTCTGGTAAATGAATCCCACTTGATCAGGATGGATTAATGTATGTGTCACATACTGAAGTCTATTAGCCAAAAAATAGTTATTAATATTTTAGCAGTCAGATTATTTAAGGAAATTACTGGAATTACAGGAATTGCAGAATTACAGTTTGTATAGCTGGCATGGTTAGGCATAAGTGGCATATAAAAAAAGAAAATTCCCAATTCAAAAGACTTAAGATAAAAGCAGAAAAGTCCAGGAGTCACACTTTGCACTGGATGAGCATGAGCCTCTGAGTTTGGAGGCATACACTTATCTCCATAGTTTTATGCCTTTAGCCTCTTTCTTCCACAGAGAATCTGAAAGTAGTTCCTTTTGTTGCAAGTCCAGCTGTGGAAGACCAAACTCCAAAAAGAAAATGTCAGATTCCTGGCTCATTAGTTCCTTGCCCTTCTTACATGCTCCAGAATAAAATATTTGAAACTGTAAATTTATATCCTTTGGGTTGTGGGTTTATGTATAATGATTACCTTTGATCAACTGGAAAAATGTAATTTTTATCATTTCTGCCAAAATGCCAGGCTTTTGCCAGGCTTTTCTCAACTTTCCCAAGACCTCTGACATGGAGAAGTCAACACAAATTCTGCTTTAGATGAATGAAGTCTGTGCAATTCATGTTTAGAATGTTGTAGTTTTGATGAGGTCTTGGAAGGGACAGGCTACAAACTGACAATAAGAATGTCACTGTTTTAGCCAATATTGCTCCCTGGATAACTATAAGTTTCTTTTTATAATAAGCAAATGCAGTAACCTTTCCTCTCATATAAGCCTGCAAGGCCTTCCATTCAATAGCACAAGACCTGGTGGTACCTTCATTAACAAGTTCAGACGCCATCTGTGTTTTCAAATGATCATCATTATGCAATGAAGCATTTGTGTGTGATGTGCCGGAAAGTTTGATTGACTTGGGCAATTGGACTAGAGTATGTTGTGAGACAGTAATTATATCAGTTTTGAATGCTGTCATGCATTGGAATAGTGGAGAAGAGATAGAGAAATAGTCAAACATACATTTTGATGCACAGCCAAAAGGGTATAATTCCAGCCTGTAAGATCCAACATATACCATGCATCATTTAAAAACTCATACACATAGGCTTTCAATGTTGAATAGATTATAGACTGAAAATGTCAAGGGTTTAATTACTTTTGCCTAAAACCTGGTCCAGAATCTTGTTTAAATTTCTATCCATTATCAAATGATCATCATAATAGACAAATGACCAAAGCATCCATGAAGCATAATAGGTGAATTCACATTAGAGCCATAAACATTAACCATATCAATTACCATATTTGTACATTTAACTGCCAAACTGAGAAAACTTCTGTCTGAATAACTTTTACTGGTGCTTGTTAGATAGGCATGTGACCACACCTTTAACTTTCTTAGAACTACCACCAACATAAAAATCTCGTACCCAATCTTTGCAAAGTATGTCTTCCCCCAAAAACTGCATTTTCTATAAGAGAGCAACACCATTTTGAGCTTCTTAAATCTCAACATGATTCACTTTCATTTGTTGGGAGCATCCAGGTCCCTACCATTACAAGTAATAATATTAAAGGACTCCGTAGTACTCTGATTACAAATAGCCAACCAAGAGAAGAATACAGGGAAGTCCTTTAAAGAACACTATCTAGGCAGCCAAAGCAAAGGTTAGAGTTCCAGCTCTGACTTCAGAAATGCACTGAGAAACTCTGAATATGAAGTGTTTCCTCTCCACCCTCATAGCTGGGATGGCTCTTTCCATGCTGGCTGCAGCACTGAGGATGAACACAGTCCTTGGAACCTATGTTGGGTGGACAGGGAGGGGAGGAGTGAGACTCTGTCATAGTAGAATGCATCCAGGTGACATCTCAACCTTTGCTCCCTGTGAGCAGGCCCGAAACACTTAACCAAAATTGGCCACCTAAATCTTTTGTAGGGTAGGAGGAGCACAGAGTCCGTCCGTCCGTCTTTCGTCTTCCTTCCTTCCTTCCTTCCTTCCTTCCTTCCTTCCTTCCTTCCTTCCTTTCTTTCTTTCTTTCGAACTTTTGTATGCCGTTCCTCATGCATGGCATTCCCTTTGCCTCCACACTCCCTCTATCCTCAGTTGGATGCTTGTAATCCTCTGCATTCAGAGGGTTATGGGCACCCCCATCAGATTGCACCTTTATTTATATGCAGCATCTCATTCTTGACACTCCATTTACAAGATAAGCAGAGCATCACAGAAGTCACACACACACTGTAGGAATGTGAAATAGCCCAAGATTCCTTCTCTTACAGTCCAAAGTATCCCTTCCCCACAGAACAAGCCCCCAAAATAAATTGGTTGATAAGCTTTATATTAAAAGGGAAGATGAAAAGAAAAATAATCCAAAAAGCAACCTACCACATCTGAACTCCTTCAGTAAAAATTTTAAAAATACCACAAAAAAATTAGAAATAGCCGAAAGGTCATTAAAGGGAAAAAAAGTCTTAGGGAAAAAATCCTTCCAAGCTTGCAGGCAGAAGCATATCCTGCCTTCACTGCCTTCCCCTGCAAACAGCAACTGCAAATCAAGACTAGTTTGGGCCCAAATCTCCAGGATGTAAACATATGCACACATATATTTGTATATAATAGGTATATATGTATCTATCTATGCCATTCCCTTTCTGAAATGTAAATGTCTCAAACTCAGTCAATAATAGAAAAAGAAAGGGAGATTTCCATGTTAACAGAGAGAGAGAGACCTTAAAGCTTCAAAACCTTGGACAGTTTCAGCCTTCCTCTGCCTTAGCAATTGGATTCATGCCATGGAGATAATCTTCTGCCACTGCTGGTGTTTTGAACATTAACATTTTCAGACCGGATTCCATTCTTAAACAGAAGACAGCAGTAAAATGAATCAAATACTGCAGATTCCTATCCCATTCTAATTATCAAGATTTAGTGAAAGAACACTGTTTTTCTGATATAACACTTTAAAAGAAAACTTTGAAAATTTCACAATAAATGGACAAGGTTTTGTTCAACATGAGGGAAGAGAGCTAGGATTTGGTGTGTCTGCTTGATACCAAAATGATAGTCCTTGGACAAATTCAGTAACTGACACAAAAAGACTCCATAACTGCTGTTGGTTGACTCTGCTTAGCCCATTCACACATTCCATATTCATATGTTCCAATTATTATATTCCAACAATTTGTAGATTACAGTGGTATCATTCACTTTCCAGCTAATTTATCTTAGCCTTCAGGACAAGGTTAGATCTATGCAAAGCAAACAAGTTTCAGAAGCCTCAGGTTTATCTTCCAGCTGTGCAACTCTAGCTTCCAAAAGATTCGACCTTCCTGTCACTCCATCAACAGATTCCTCTAACATTATTGTAGAGGGTTTAATTCTTTTTAATTCTCCATCTTTAACTCTAAATAGTATCATTGCATTTCTCACACTTTCTTCATCCAGCAAAGCCTTCACTGTCCCAGTGGTAGAAGGTGGGAGAAGTCAGCACCACTTTCCACATTGTAACTTTCCTTGCCACGATTAGGCCAAACACAGAAACCAAACCACATTTGGTTAGTAAGGATGAAGAAAATAGTTTTTTATAAGTGAGAGTTAGAAAATTAGACCATTACTGGGGTAATGAGGTGGAGAATGAAGGGGTATAGTAAAATGCAACCAGCTACACATTTATCTTAACAAGGAGATGAGGCATGGTCTAGATGGCCTCTGAAGTCCCATAGTTTGGAATCCGTGACCTCCTATCATTGCCCCACCATCTTGCTTTCCTTTCTCTGTGGTTGGGAATTGAGCTGCATATTAAACCAGGTTCTGAACTGCAGTGAACACATTTAAAAAAAAGCCTGCTTTAACACTATCACCACCATTAATATTGAAAAGAGAGGGGAAAAGAAGAAGAAAAACAAAACAAAACAGGAGGAGAATTGGTGGGCATTTATTTCCCAGAATGAAGCTTTTGTGAAATAAAAGCATGATTTATCAATTACATGAAAAAGTGTTTAGGTTTTAAGAAATATCCCAGCTTGTGATTTTGCTGTTGGGATTTTACTGAAGTGTTATTAAAAGGTGTCTTGGCAATTTTTAAAAGTGTTGCCCTGAAGAAATATTTTTATGTTGAAACCTTCTGCTGATTATTTAATTTCAGAAAAGTTTTCTTTCACAAGGATAAAGCATTATTTCTCCAATCAGATTCCATGCCCCATATGATTGTTTTGAAATGTAAACAAGATGAAACAAGTTTTGACATGTAAACAAAAAGCAAAATGGTTTGTTACTGATCTGCTGTGTCTTGTGTAGTGTGTGTAAGCTATAGACGGTATGCTGAGCTCAGCGATTGTGTAGTGAACCTAGTGTCAAATCCATTGAGCATGATCTGGTCCCTGGGTTGCTAGGACATTTGACGGGACCCTGAAATTGAACAGTGAAGGGCAAATCAGACACTGTCTGTACCAGCCTTGTACATGCAAGGTGCATACAGGCAGGGCATCCATTTTCCAGCAAGCTGCATGGCACCCATGCATAGCTTACACGGAATCTTAGTCTCTGTAAGGGAAATGCTAGGAATCACAGTGCATGCCCAGATAACACAGACGAAATGGAGGGAAGAGGGGTGTTTGTGTGCAATATCCACACCACAAGTCCCTTTTCCACCCTAATGCCATAGTGATGACTAACTGAGGAATCTGTAGCTGTGCTTACTTTCGCTTTCAGGGAGCAAAACATGGGCTGCCATTTGCCTTGGAGTTGACTGGCCTAGAGTATGGCTGGTTACCCCTCAATTCATATTTGTATGGCCAACATAAAATATAAGAATTATATTGTGTAACTGCTATGGTATTAAAACATCCACAAAGCAAGAACAAAAATTTATGTTTTCTTTTCATAAGGGTTTTACCCAGCTAATGTTTTGGCCACCCAGCTTCTCGTTGATTGTCTGAGTTGTGGTTTTCTGTCTAAACATATTCTATAGTTAAACTTACCTTTTTTGTCACATCTTGTCTACCTGCCCTTGCCTAGTTTAATGCCATCCTTAGTCTAATTCCAACCTTTTCTTCTAGAAGAAGTGATCTTGGCTGAAGATGACATAGAAGGAGAGCCTCATCACCCCTTCGATGGTAAGCCATCATCTTCAACAAAGCGTATAAAGTGTGCAAATGGGTGAGACTCTGAGCTTGCGGTCCTGGTGGTGTGCCGACTTGATCTACAACTAAGGACTGTACAGAGATAATTCAATTTAAGCATCATTGTTTTAAATGCCACAAACATGGAAAGTAATAGCTACTAATCAAATCTGGGCTCCTCCCAGCAGGGATAGTATTGTCAGAAAGTAGTAGATGTGGAGGGTGCTACAAGAGTATGGTCAAGTGGATAAGATGTTGAACTTGGAGCCCTGGATTCAAATCCTGGCTCAGCCATGAGGCCAGTGGCAAATGTAAACATGTATTTTTAAATCCACGGTGAAGCAACAATAGGGGAAGGCATTGTGCATGACAGAAACAACAAAAAAGAAAAGGCAAAATCTTGAGTGCTTGTTAGAGATGTTTATCATGCCCAACATGTTTCAGAAAGTCATTGTTCCTTTGTCAGGGTCTGCTGATCTTTTAGATGTTTTGATAAGAAAATCTACTATTTACTTACTCCAAATACAGTCTTTGCATCCTGCAAGATTCCAGATACATGTTTATCCTCAGAAACATACAAAATAAACTTTGCAGGCAGGAAAACTGTTTACGTGTGTGTGTGTGTGTGTGTGTGTGTGCATGCATGCATGCGTGTGTGCATGCACGCGCACGCGTGTGTAGTGTATAAAAAGGTAAAGGTTTCCCCTTGACATTAAGTCCAGTGATTTAGAATGAGAAATAATATATAGAGAAAGGGTTAAAGCTTCCTCTCTCTCCCTTGTCTTCTCTAAATTGCCCCTCCCAAAGCTGCTTTTTTGGTAAACAAAGGGGGTATCTGTAGTATTATTTTAATGCTTATGTATAACATCTAGGATTGGCCTCAGTGAGTGACTCTGACTAGTTCCTATTGGAGTGGACTGGGTATCTAAAGAACATTTGTCTATGAGCTTCCACTTTCCACCAACTAAGTGAATGGGGAAGAGTATTACTCGCAGAGTGTGTAGCCTGTATCAGTGTCTTTGCTCAGTGAATACTTTTCTTTTGAACTAATGAATCTGATCAAGGGACTTGAGGATAATGTCTGTTTTCCTTGCCATGTTCCTATTGTTGGAGCTCTCCGGAGGGCCACAATCAAGAAGAGCAAGACAGACCTGCTGAACCCAGAGGAAGCAGATGACCCGCTGGCTGACATCTCCTCAGTGGGTATGTGTGGGGAGATGTGCAGAAACACAGAAACAGACCAAGTCAGAAGGGGTCTCCCGGGCCATCTAGTCTGACCCTCGGCTCCAGCTGGCTCCGCTTATGTCATGTCCACCATGTGCATGTCCAGCCTATCCTTGAACTTCCTCACTGATGGGCCTTCAACCACCTCTCGTGGAACCTCATTCCATACCCCATGGGTCCTAACTGTCTGGAAGTACTTGAACTGAACCAACTGAACCTTGGTTCCCTGAGCTTTGCTCCACTGGAAGGCATCCTGCCCTCCTCCACAGGGGAAAACAGGTCATGATGCACCTCTGCGTGACACCCCCTCACATACCTGTATGTCATTAACTGTCCCCTCTGAGTCTCCTCTTCTCATGGCTGAAAAGACCCAGTTCCCTCAGTCTCTCCTTGTATGGCTTCCCTTGCACACCAGCCACCATGCTAGTGGCCCTTCACTGCACCGATTCCAACCTTGCTACATCCCTCGTGTAATGAGGGACCCAGAACTGAACACAGTACTCCAGCTGCAGGCGCCCCAGAGCTATAAGGAAGTCACTGGATGTGATTCCCCCATGCTCATAAAAAGCAAATTAGATTCCCCCACAAGCAGGCTCAGTAATAGTAGCAGACTGCAGTCAGTGTATATTTTGGCACATACAAGTGCTACCATTCTGCTCAAGTCCCGATCTTGTTTTTAGTTCTGTTCTTTGTAACAGGAACAATTACTGTGATCACTGACATTCTTGATTGCAAGCAGAGAAAACAAAATGTATTGTCAGCAGTGTGTCTCCCCCCGCCACACACACGCTTTGTGTCTTTCTTGTACTTAAGATGATAATACATAGGAAACTGATTTATACTGAGTCAGACCCTTGGTCCATCTGTCCCAATATTATTAACAATGTCTGGCAGCAGCTCTCTAGGATTTCAGGTAGTTTTACTAGCCATACCTAGTGATTCTGAAGAGAGAAAATGGAACCTGCTCATGTGAAGCATATGCTCTACGACTGGGTTACAGAATGGACAGCAGGGAGTGAACAATATGCCATCATACAGCTTCTTGTGCAGGGCAAACTAACTTAATGAATGCCACTCCTGCTGGAAGCAGATAACTAGACCAAGAAGATCTGCTTTCATGCTTCAGAAGTGTTCTCTGGATGTCACCAATGCCAGACCTTTAGTGCAGGGGTCCGCTGTGCAGCAGCCATGAAGGGATCTCGAAAAAGAAACTTATGGACACACACAAAACTATTTCCACCTTTTTGTCAGTGTACTTCTATGGATTTGAATAGATCCATACATATGCTGCTTTTTAGCAATTACTGTATATATAGATTTCAACAAAAGTGGACCAAATATCCATTTGACGTTATTGCCTATATGCCACCTGTTGGAATAGTGAAGTGTTGTAAGGTCTTCATACACCACATTATAGGAACATTCATCCTTCCAGTGTCATAATATCAGTTTTCTAGGTGTCAAAGGTGCACCAAAAATCCACTTCGGCCGAACATTTTTTAATTCTGATAAACCAGGTAAATGATTTAAAGGAACATGTACACCAATGAATATGAAAGATTCCAGTACAAAATGTATTTGTATAATAACCTTTTCCTAAAAAGAAGCAACAACTGGATATTACCAAAATATATCTTTAAAAGAAGTATTCACTATATTGAACTGCCAGTAATTAGCCAAATTAGATAATCTCTTACATGAGATGTTACAGTGTCCATATATATGAAACAAATGTTTTTGCTAAATAAGATGCAGCCTACAGTCTATTGGGTCTAGATATAATCACTAAACATCAAAGTGATGATCCATTGATGAGGTGTGATGTTGTTGTATGTACAACAGTTTCTTAAATTGCTAAATGGGTCCATGGGTCCAAAACCCTGGAGAACCCTGATTAAGTGAGCTACAAAACAGAGCTTGCCAGTTCTTTTCAAGACCACTACAGGTAATGAGGCCACACCTGGTGAAAGGTGATGAGGCTCAAGTATGTTTCTGCCTATCAGGGCTCCAAAAGGAATTTACTGCTGATGAAATAGATTTCACAGGATTCAAGATTTGGCTAGGGTGCTTCAGGTGGTGCAGTCATTGTCAGAGATACTGCGTTGATCTAGCTTGGAATAATCTGTGCTTTTAAAGACCTTGCTGATCTTAAGCTTTGTATTTCCTTGGCAGGTTCACCCTTTGCTCGAGCCAGCATCAAAAGTGCCAAGCTGGAAAACGCCACTTTCTTTCACAAAAAGGAGCGGAGGTTGCGTTTCTATATCCGTCGAATTGTCAAAACTCAGGCCTTTTACTGGACAGTCCTCAGTCTGGTAGCTCTCAACACATTGTGTGTTGCTATAGTACACTACAACCAGCCAGATTGGCTATCTGACTTCCTCTGTGAGTACCAGCCCTGCTACACCTTGACCTTAGGAGGGAAATCAGGGAAGTTCTTTCCATTTCTGCTTTTCCTTTGGTTTGGCCATAAAGGTTTATAGAAAGTATAGCTGATCACAAGATAGTGATATTGAATTAATGAAGGGATGATGGTGAAGTAAGCTGTCCCTTACCCATCAGCATCTGCAATAACCAGCAGTTACTGAATGTTGTTGTTGGAGGTTTTAAAATTTTGTTTACTTGAAAGAACCTTTTGCATATACCCAAGTTCCTTTTTCTTCAGAAGGTATACTTTGATGATCTAAGCATTTATATCCCTTCTAGGTCATCCATTGCCACTTACATCCTTCTTTCATCTTTTTGTAATTCAGATTTTAGGCATTTCCCCATCTTCTTTTTTCCCTTTCAATAGGATGTTCTCCTCTCTCCCGTTTTTAAAGTTTTCATGTTTTCAGCCTCTTTCAGAATATTGCAGAGTGTCATAGAAATTATTGGAAAGAGATATGAACCTGAATGATTGTTGGTAAAGCAGCAGATTGTAAGAGTTCAAATTTCTTCCTTTTTCCCTTGATGCTAGAAGGAGGAGAAAAGATTGGTTATATTTAAACCAGACTGCATCTGACTCATCTGATCATCTCATTTTCTTTCCCAAGTGGCCAGGATGGGACAAGGGCAGTAGGGACCACTAGCAAATACAGGTTTGTTGTGGTATAATAGGCCCATAGAAGCTACCGAGTGGAAACTGGCCTGGTTCCCATTGAGTGGTAAACCTGTGTCAGGACTGAACCACTTCAGATTCCAGGTAGAGGCTCAAAATTCAAATGTCCCAGCTGGAATGGAAAAGCCATTTTTCCATTGACTTCTACCTACCATACTTGTTTGCTTCTACCTTTAAGCCTTTTCTGTGAAATTGCCAACCTTTGTTTACATGTTTTCTATGAAGAATCCAGATGAACTCATTGCCAGATAGTTGCATTCTGGAGTTTCCTGTGTTGACTTCCATTTTTCCAGACTTGTTTTTTGGAAATGCATACATACATATATGAATTAACATCATCCTCAGTTGCCACACTAGTCTGTCCAGTATGGTGCCTTTAATGAAGTGCTTCCTCCTTGAATTTTGTGCCTTCTTTAGTGCTTCCTATTCATAGTGGTTGGTGATGTATTTCCCCCTTAATTAGTCATGGTCCATTCCCCACTTGAATGGAATGGTGAGGACAGCAGAGAAGTTATACAATTTCTTCCCATAATTTCCTTTCTATAAAAGAAAGAAAATATAAAATAAAGGGGAAGCTGTGGTTAAACAGAAGCTGACTGATTAAGACAGGGAAAGTTCATAATTAATCCTCCAGCCACCTGAATAGGTTGAAATAAAAGGGGCAAAAGCTGTTGGAGGGAAGCTTTGAATTAAAGTTGCAGAGTAAGCATTATAGAAGGATCTTAGTAAAGGAGAATTGCTGGGTAATATGACACTTTATTCAGTACTGGGTGGAACCTGTTTGATTCTGCTTCTTGCAGATTGTGAAAAAGTAATGCTCAGCAACACTAAAAGTCATCAGCGTGGAAGCAGCCCATGCTAACTTGCTATTTACAGAACTATTCCTGTTGTTTTTCTCCCTCCCTCTCAATTCAATCTTAGTTGAAGAAAATTCTCCTTGTCCCATGTCTCTCTTTGCATTCTGAAGAAATATAGCCCAATTATAGACCATGCAATGTAGTCATAAGGTTATATGAGTCCCTGGATTATATTTTCAGTCCTGGTCCACTGTTTTTAGGCTATTTGTACCATCAACTCTGCTGTGGATATTTTTTTTTCTTGGTTTTTGTTCCAGGATTCTTTACCTGCACTGAGTTAGAATAGCACCACCAGCCTCTTTCTGTATTTCAGCACTAGGGCAGGTGATAATTGCTGGTGTCACTTCCCTCATAGAGAAGAAAACCCTGGTTTCCTAAATGGAAGGAAATTAGAGACTAGGGGAATGTTAAGGTCCTGTTTGTCAAGGAAACTGTATTTGCCCCTGACAGGTATAGCATTTTCTCAAGACATCTGCTGAGTGGAAGCGTTCTGCCTTTTTCACAAACCTTCCCTGCAAAACATTCTTTATTGATCAAAAAGTTTTCCAGAGGTACAAACACTCAGAATGAGTCTCTGAGCATGCACAGAGCCATTTGTTGAACCCAATCTAGTATTCACCTCCAAGAACTTTCCTTATACGCATGCCTAGGCCCCTTCCCTTTGTGAGGGGCCTTCTGAAACAATCAAGTCTCCTCTCTGTACAGCAATCCTCTAAATGGGTCATCCTCCTCTGCTGATGCCACATCATGGCCTCAAGAGCTGTACCTGCGTTGTCTGTCTTTGAGAAGCTCCCCTGTTCCAAGCCCCTCCTGTTAACTGTACATTTTGGTTATTCTCAGAGGCTGCCTGCCCATATGGAGGGCCTGGCCTTGAGATAAGTGTTTCCACTTCTCCCATCTCAGTGTGTGGAACTGGCCTCCATTTCAAGGCCCCCTCCTCTTTCTCCGAAGTCCAGCCCATGTGGCCCTGAGGATGTAGGCATCAAGAGCAACTGTTTTTCTTGCTTCCAACCCCTACAAAGATAATATTCTGTCTTATATAGTGCCCTGTTTATTATTTATTATGCTAATAAATAATTATGCTGAAGTGTCTAATGAGGGGTGGTTTTGTGGCATGAAAATTAAGAGGGAGGCATAGATTTGTCTGACCAATACTTCTCTCTCTGTTTTTGTTTGTCTGTTTGTTTGTTTCAGACTATGCAGAATTCATTTTCTTAGGGCTCTTTATGTCCGAAATGTTTATAAAAATGTATGGGCTTGGAACGCGGCCTTACTTTCACTCATCCTTCAACTGCTTCGACTGTGCTGTAAGTTTTCCAGTATGGCTGAGCTCCATTCTTTCCTGTGCTACAGCTACTCTCATAGATCATATACTCAGCTACATATTCCCAATGGAGGGTACCAGCATTCAGCAAAGTCAACTGCCTAATGAGCACCTGTGTTCTACATGTCATAGGGAAGTGCCCCATACGCACACAGCACAAGCTTTGCTGGGATGACTAAAACTTCCTCACCATGTAGGCCCCCTAAAATAAGATCCTGGTAGTTCTTCATAAATGCAAGCTACTGACACTGCTGAGGTTGGTCTCATTGCTGGCCTGCTGCTTGAATTTGGGCCATTTGTTTCAAATAGTAAAAGTGCATTTGTTTTCTTATCTGTATGATTGGAGACTGTATCGTGCAACTAAGATGAGTTATACATCAGATATGTTCTTGCAATGAAGCTAGACGTGCCCTGTCCCCTCTCAAAGCTTGAGCTGAAACAAGTTCAACCCTACAAACCAAGATATTAGATTGAGTTGGAGAACCATGTAGGGTCTGAAGGCTAAATTGCCCAGTGGCAGGGCAGCTGCCAAAGGAAGTGAAGCCGTATCTCCTTCACTTCACTCTCTTGTATGCACACTCTTCCCAGACTTCCAAACATTCATCCACCGATTCTCTTTCTCTTGCTCTCTCATACACCCCCCCATTCTCACATTACATTCAGATGAACCTTCATCCTGTCCACAAACACTGTTCTTTTTCACATGTGTGCACACATGCATGCACACACCCACACACTATGCTCTTTTGTGTGCACATGCATGCTCACATCCACACACATACATATACCATACACACATATGTATCATCTCTCTCTCTCCCCACCACCCTTCCCCCTCTCTCACCCACACACACACACACTCCATTTGTGCACACACGAACATCACATTCTTGCTCACACACATCCTTCAGCTGAGCAAGAGGAGGAACATTTTCCTCCTCATTGTGGTTTAAAGCTCCTTACCCAGCGTGTCACAATAGGAATGGAGCTGATCCACACTATTCAGCTGAGAACAAGAGAGGGACTGGTCTGGCTTTGCTGCTCACTGATCTTTCCTCATCAGGGAAAGTCAGTTGCAGCAGAACCTTGAGCCGGTGCCTCAAAAGGTGGCTTGAGGTTCATACTCACTCAGGAGCTGGCTTTACCTGTGCCTTACCTTCCCATATCCGAGGAGGCAAGGACTGAGCAAAACCAAGTTCTCCAGGTGCTGACTCAGTCCAAAGCCAGCTTCATTCCTCCCTTGTCTTCGCTAACTGGGGAGAGAGGAGTGAAGACCTGCCCTCAGCTGCTGCCATCAAAATGGAAGTGTCTTCAGGTCGCAGCTCACAGCCCCTCTCCCTTTTCTAAGGCAGCAAGACTTGGGAGAAGGGCTTTGGAGAAAGGGACAGGCCTTCTCTGAAGCCCTCACAGAATGGTAGGCTTAATTTGATCCACAGATCAAAGAATTCCCATCTATGCATTAAAAGATTTAACTAAGACCAACTTCAACATCTTTCTTTTTTAAAATCATTATCTCAGGATCATAGCCAATGTCAAGATGTTGTCTACCTGGCTTAGGTTTTGACCTTGTTAGCTTGGAGATCCTAAACCTATTGTGGAATGAGCAGATTCGGCGTGCTTTTGTGTAGCAGCTGCAGAACAGATTGCATTTGCAGCATGCTTATGAGCTGGTTAGGGTTACTACATATTTTTGGTTCTGGGGACTTTTATAGACCACTGTAGTTTCATGTTGTTCTTATTTTTCAAATGTTGATCTGGGGTATAGGAAGCATTCTTATGCTAGGTCAGACTGTTTAGTTATTCAACTTTGTATTGACCACTTTGGCTAAAGGTGTTTCTTCAGGGTCTCAGCTTTCCATTACCTGGTACCTAATTCCTTTAGTTAGACACTCCGAAGAGTGAACCTGAGATCTATTCCTCCCAAAGATTTTATTGTGCCACTGAACTATTGTCCCTATCCATATAGCCTCTGTAATAGGAATTATAGAGCTAGCTGCCTTGCCTTGGTTTTTTGGCAGGTCATCATTGGGAGCATCTTTGAGGTGATCTGGGCTGTGGTAAAGCCTGGCACCTCCTTTGGGATCAGCGTCTTACGAGCTCTCAGGTTACTGCGCATTTTCAAAGTTACGAAGTAAGTTGTCTTGCAAACAACACTGCAAAAATACATGTGCATGAATACATGTGCTGGACTGTGGAGTGTGTTACTTATGTGTCCCCTTAAGTGTGCTTATTTGGGCAAAGGTATATGTATGTGCATGTTTGTACATAGTGCATAAGAGTTTGTACATTATATGCCTTTATATGCTATTAAAAAGAAGCCTGCAGAGTTTGCCTCATGATCATATTTTGAAACTGTCAAAAACAAAGAATAATTTGGAAACAATTAAAATGGCACAAATCAACTTATGAAGCTTTCTCTAGCCCCCTGAGCAACATTTTACACATATTTTTAGCAAGATCTGCAGGATATTCCTTCCAAGCAGTAAGGCCCACTAAATCCAGAGGAGAAGGCATTTGATTGGGGGATGGAGCAGAGGGGGCTAGAAGCAAAAATCAAACAAGTGAAACAAAAAATGTTTTTAAGGGTTTGCTTCATCCTGTCTAAAGAAGAATCTGCAGAACTTCAGCAGTATGAGTTAAATACTATTGGAGTGTAGCTTGCTTAAAGAAAAAGCGAAAAAGAAGGCTTAAAGAAGCCATCTGTATATCAGTAGATCATTGCCTTGTAATGTCTGGGACAATAAACATGAGTTTCTATGTGCCTTTTTGTGGGGAAATGGGACCACAAATTATCATTCCCTATTAAAAATGGGCTCTAAAAGCACTCTAAATATATTGTTCTTGAGTTGTCCACTGTCTTTTCTCTTCCATGGTCCCTTTTTCCTCATTAGGATTCATCAAATAAAAATGGTGTGGATGAAGGCTTTGGCAGCAATTCACTCTTGTGTATCTCTTGCCTTAGGAAGCTTAAGTGAATTGTGGGCAGCAGAAAGAGATGCGAATATCATTAGCAGCTTCAGTTACTTAGTTCTTACTTGTCTCTCTTGCATCCCTAACCAAAAGCATTTGCGCTAGTTAGCCAGAAAGAGGGTGGGGTTTAAAGTTGCCTGAAATAGAATTTGAGATGTCATTAACTTGTAACGGGTAGGCTAGAGATACTGAAGAGCTTTTAAATCCAATGCAGCGGCAATCAACTTATGGCTCTCCGGATGATTTAGCTTAAAACTCCCATCAGCTAAAGCCACTGGTAAGGGTTGATGAGAATTGTAGGCTAAAACTTCTGAAAGACTTTAAGTTCAAGGAGGCTAAAGTAGAGTGTGCATGTTCAGTGAGAGAGGGATGCTTCCATTGTTAGATGTTACAATATGAATGTCAACAATTCTGTGTTGACAAATTAGGTTTGCTTTGTGCAAATAATGCTGGAACTATAAAGTTCTTAGCTTGAAATTTGTGCAAATAATTTGAACAGTTTTGCAGAAGCCGCCCCTTCCCCAATTCTACGCAGTTTTGGTCATAGGGTCAGAAATGTGTCAAAGTCTGTTGAACTCACACAAAATGAGTTTTCCAGTGTCACACATCCTTAATCTAAGTTGATACTGGAGTATTTCATTTGTAATAAAACTATATTTCATGTATATACAAGTTTAATGGGTGTTTACATTTGTGTCATTTTAATTATTATTTTTAGTTTGATAAGGTGTGATTATAGCTTATTATAAAAATTACAGCTTTAGAGTTTTGTTAGAACTAGCACCTGATTTTCCAAAGCGATTAGAGCAAAGTATGGATCAGTTAAGGCTGAGGCTTTAAAAAAACTATGCATTAAAATGTATGGGGAGAAGGAAGTGGTCAAGAGAACAAAGTGACATCTCCTTGTTGCCACAACCAAAGAAACCTGGGATGGAAGATCATTTAGTGTTGTTTGAGATGGCAGTGATGAATATATTTCTCTGTCTGTCAAAGACAACTGCCTAATGGGAATAAATACATAATAATAATGGAACAGATCAGCCCCAAATTGACAGACAGTTGGTACAGTTCGGAAGATCAATGCCTTGGCCCTTTCTCGTCCCTCTATGAAATTCCAGGTTCAAATTTCCACTCCTTCCTAATGTCTATTTAGTCAAGTTGGGGCAGTTTTTCTTATTCAGACTGACTAGATAATTGGATGGTGTGGGTATTGTCCTGAGTTACTTGGAAGAAGGGTAGCATAAAAAAATTAAAATATTCACCAGACTATTACTAGTTATTGCCACTTTCTATAGTAAGAATGGTGATTTAAGATAAAAGGAATGTCGATTCTTGTTTACTTTTTTGTTTTAAACCTTGGAAATGAAGGACAAACATTTCATTTTGTGACATACATCCACAGTGCCAAGGACATAAATTGTTATATTATGATACTTTCTGCAAATGACCGAAATTGTTGGTATCAACCGTAACTAGCTAAATGATAGTCTTGCATCCTTGACAGCTTCCACCAGGCATGAATGGACATTCCATTTCTGTCATGGAAATGAATGTTCTGTCCTCTAAAATGAACGTGTTTGCACTCTGATGTATAGCCCTAGAAGACAGACTTTACCTGCCTTACTCACATGTGGATACCCTTGGCAGGTACTGGGCTTCCCTACGAAACCTAGTCGTATCTCTGCTGAACTCCATGAAGTCCATCATCAGCCTCCTGTTCCTCCTGTTCCTCTTCATAGTCGTCTTTGCCCTTTTGGGAATGCAACTCTTCGGGGGCCAGTGAGTAATAGGAAAAGGGGAGATGTTGACCTTCTTTTCCACATATTTTATGTGAAAACAAATAACAATACTACTCTATTTAACCATGATTTACCAAACTGGGAACAAGGCTTGTACCTATATGCTCCTTTCTAGTGCTTGCCTTTTCTCTTCCCCATTTCTGTCCTACTTCAGTGTTGATGTCACAGCTTGTTAATATTGCCATAGCTTGTCATGCTTTCTAATGAAGAACAGACCAGGAAGTTGTGAGTTAAATATTGCTTACGAAGAAGGAAGCATATCCAATCAAGTTTAGAACTTTGTTTAAAATCCTGCCTTGATAGTAATGCTTAAATCATAATTTCCTGATTCCTATCTCAGGAAACTGGGTTATCAGTTCAAGATATAAGCACTGAACCTAGATGCACAAAGCAAGAGGTGGGAATGCACAGGCAATAAAGATTGTTCCCAGACTGATAAGCAGTGCATCAGACCAGGATCATGGTGTCTGAACTGAATCCTCTGCTTGGGCATTGCTCCATCATCACATCACATTTCTGGAGTAGCCAAGGGCTAAGGTAGATGGATGCTGCTATTTGCAGGGATGTAGAATTGTTGTGTATACTCACAACACAGCAAGGATATTTGCCTTCTTCCAAGAATGCTCCTATTCATAAACTTTTAGACTGGCAATGTTGCATAAGTGGCCAGGATGCTGTTACTCCTGTCTGCTTTCTTCTGGGTCCCTATTGCTAGACATAATAATCTCTGTCCACAGCCACAATGTTTTTGCTATTCTTGGAAAGGTTGTGATTCCCCTCATCCCTCTTCCTCTTTCACACACACATTATTTGCCCCATACATCTATCTTCAAACAATGCCATGTACTTTTCTGGTTCCTACATTACTTCAGGTAGAACAAATTAAGACTGAATGGTGATGGAAGATAGAAATCAAGTTGAAGTTGTTTTGGAGCTGTGACTAACATGTCTGTTCCTGTTGGATTGGTGTTTTTCCTGTACAGGTTCAATTTTGATGATGGAACCCCTCCAACCAATTTTGACACTTTCCCAGCAGCAATAATGACAGTATTTCAGGTATGAACGGGAGCGGGAAGAAGGCTGCATTTTGTGCCTTGTTCATCTTTCTGTCCTTGGCATGTATCCCATGTGGGATGACCACATGAGTTAATCTGTTGATATGGCCGAGGAGTCCAGATAGCACCTGGCCACTGTCTTTTCTTCTAGTTGCCACCATTTCCTAACCTGTTTAAGGTGTACACAGATGGGCTTTCAAATAGAAAGAACAGAGAAAGAGATTTTGTATTCACAAAATCTGGTGGCTTACTTTTGGAGGGGTTGATGGATTTTAGGGTTTTTTACTGTGGCAGATGGAGCAGACTTTCATAAGTGTACTTTGGCTGCTATACATTGGGTTGTGGTTGCATACTGAAGCTAAGGTAGCTACTTAGGATTGGGCTATCAATTTTTTACAGTGAGACTGAAGGAAGTGTACGTATTGACTGAATATGTGCATCATAATAGTCCACCATGGGTTCATTTACCTGTGATGGCTGTATATTTTGCCAGGCACCACAGAAGTCATTTTTGCATGGTGCCAATGGGGACTCTTCTTTTGTTGTTGTTAGTTGTGAAGTCGTGTCTGACCCATCATGACCCCATGAACGTTCCTCCTGGCCTTCCTGTCCTCCACCATCCCCCAGAGTCCACCCAAGCTCACACCAACTGCTTCAGTGACTCCATCCAGCCACCTCATCCTCTGCTGTCCCCTTCTTCTTTTGGCATCTATTGTGCCCAGCATTAGGCTCTTCTCCAGTGAGTCCTTCCTTCTCATTAGGTGGCCAAAGTATTTGAGTTTCATCTTCAGTATCTGGCCTTCTAAAGAGCAGTCAGGGTTGATCTCCTCTAAGACTGACTGGTTTGATCTTCTTGCAGTCCAAGGGACTCTCAGGAGTCTCCTGTAGCACCACAATTCAAAGGCCTCAGTCCTTCGGCATTCAACCTTCCTTATGGTCCAACTTTCACAGCCATACATTGCAAATGGGAAAATCATAGCCTTGATTATACACACTTTTGTTGGCAGGGTGATGTCTCTGCTTTTTAGTATGCTGTCTAGATTTGCCATAGCTTTCCTCCCCAGGAGCAAGCATCTTTTAATTTCTTTGCTGCAGTCCCCATCTGCGGTGATCTTGGACCCAGGAAAATAAAATCTGTCACTACCTCCATTTCTTCCCCATCTTTTTGCCAGGAAGTGATAGGACCAGATGCCATGATCTTAGTTTCTTAATGTTGAGTTTCAAGCCAACTTTTGCACTCGCTTCCTTCACCACCATCAAGAGGCTCTTTAGTTCCTCTTCACTTTCTGCCATTAGAGTGGTATCATCTGCATATCTGAGGTTGTTGATATTTCTCCTGGCAATCTTAATTCCAACTTGTGATTCATCTAGCCCTGCCTTTCTCATGATGTACTCTGCATATAAGTTAAATAGGCAGGGTGACAGTATACAGCCTTGCCGAACTCCTTTCTCAATTTTGAACCAATCAATAAGTTCTCACTGTTGCTTCTTGACCCACATATAGGTTTCTCAAGAGACAAATAAGATGCTCTGGTACTCCCATCTCTAAGAATTTGCCACAATTTGTTGTGATCCACACATACAAAGGCTTTAGCATAGTCAATGAAGCAGAAGTACTATATTTTTTGCTCTATAAAACGCACGTTTCCCCCCTCAAAAGTAAGGGGAAATGTCTGTGCGTCTTATAGAGCAAATATGTGTGTGCAGTAAGTCTGTCAGATGTGCAGCCCATGGGGAAGTGATGGGGAATGTGCCTGTGATTATGTGCCCATTTGATTCAGAATATTTTTTTCTTGTTTTCCTTCTCTAAAAACTAGGTGCGTCTTATGGTCAGGCGCATCTTATAGAGTGAAAAATACGGTAGATGTTTTTCTGGAACTCCCTAGCTTTCTCCATGATCCAGTGTATGTTGGCAATTTGATCTCCAGTTCCTCTGCCTCTTCGAAATCCTGCCTCTACTTCTGGTAGTTCTCGATCCACATACTGCTGGAGCCTAGCTTGCAGGATTTTGAGCATAACTTTGCTAGCATGTGAAATGAGTGCAATGGTGCAGTAGTTTGAACATTCTTTGGCATTGCCCTTCTTTGGAATTGGAATGTAAACTGACCTTTTCCAGTCCTGTGGCCACTGTTGAGTTTTCCAAATTTGCTGGCATACTGAGTGTAGCACTTTTACGTCATCGTCTTTTAGGATTTTGAATAGCTCAGCTGGAATATTGTTGCCTCCACTAGCTTTGTTGTTGCTCAGACTTCCTAACGCCCATTTGACTTCACATTCCAGGATGTCTGGCTCGAGATCAGTGACCACCCCATCATAGTTATCAGGGACGTTAAGCTCTTTCTTGTATAGTTCTTCTGTATAATCTTGCCACCTCTTCTTAATTTCTTCTGCCTCTGTTAGGTCCCTGTCATTTTGGTCCTTTATCATGCCCATCTTTGCATGAAATGTTCCATTCATATCTCCAATTTTCTTGAAGAGATCTCTGGTCCTCCCTATTGTTTTCTTCTATTTCTTTGCACTGTTCATTTAAGCAGGCATTCTTATCTCTTCTAGCTATTCTCTGGAATTCTGCATTCAGTTGGGTGTATCTTTCTTTTTCTCCCTTGCCTTTCACTTCCATTCTTTCCTCAGCTATTTGTAAAGTTTCCTCAGACAGCCATTTTGCTTTCTTGCATTTCTTTTTCTTTGGGATGGTTTTAGTTGCTACCTCTTGTACAATGTTGCGAACCTCTGTCCATACTTCTTCAGGCACTCTGTCTATCAGATCTAATTCCTTAAATCTATTTGTCACCTCTACTGTATATTCATCAGGAATATGATTTAGGTCATACCTGAGTGGCTTAGTGCTTTTCCCTACTTTCTTCAATTTAAGCCTAAATTTTGCAACCAGAAGCTCATGATCTGAGCCACAGTCAGCTCCTGGTCTACTTTTTACTGACTATAGAGCTTCTCCATCTTTGGCTGCAGAACACATAGTCAACCTGATTTCTGTGTTGACCGTCTGGTGATGTCCATGTGTAGAGTCGACTCTTGGGTTGTTGGAAAAGAGTGTTTGCTATGACCATCGTATTCTCTTGACAAAATTCTACCAGCCTGTGCCCTGCTTCATTTTGTACTCCAAGGCCAAACTTGCCTGTTATTCCGGTTATCTTTTGGCTTCCTACTTTAGCATTCCAATCCCCCATGATGATAAAGACACCATTTTTTTGGTGTTAATTCTAGAAGGTGTTGTAGGCCTTCATAGAACCGGTCAACTTCAGCCTCTTCAGCACCAGTAGTTGCAGCATAGACTTGGACTACTGTGATGTTGAATGGTTTGTCTTGGATTCGAACAGAGATCATTCTGTCATTTTGGAGATTGTATCCCAGTACTGCCTTTCCTACTCTTTTATTGACTATGAAGGCTACTCCATTTCTTCTGAGGGAGGCCTACAGTAGTATACTTGATTATCTTCTGAATTAAATTCACCCATTCTGGTCCATTTTAGTTCACTGATTCCTAAGATGTCGATGTTCAGTCTTGTCATCTCTTGTTTGACCATGTCCAGCTTGCCTTGATTCATAGATCTCACATTCCAGGTTCCTATGGAGAATAGCTCTTTACAGTATCTGACTCTCCTTTCACCACCAGATACATCTGCAACTGAGTGTCCTTTCAGCTTTGACCCAGTCGCTTCATTCTTTCTGGCGCTACTAGTACTAGCCTCTGCTCTTCCCCAGTAGCATATTGGACACCTTCCAACCTGAGGGGCTCATCTTCCGGCATCATATCTTTTTGCCTTTTGGTACTGTCCATGGCGTTTTCATGGCAAGGATACTGGAGTGGGTTGCCATTTCCTTCTGCAGTGGATCACATTTTGTCAGAGCTCTCTGCTATGACCTGTCCATCTTGGGTGGCCCTGCACAGCATAGCTCATAGGTTCATTGAGCTACACAAGCACCTTCACCACGACAAGGCAGTGATCCATGAAGGGCGTGGGAACTCTTCTTGCCATGTCATAAAGCCCAGGAAGCAGGGGTTGTTTGAGGGTCAGACAATATTCAAATAACCCTAAAACAAGCCATGGGTTATTTGAGGGATGTCTGTCTCTCATACTGTGGTGATAATATATCACTATTATATTATAGTTGGGCACAGGTTTCATCATAAGAAGAGCTTTGTTTTAAACCCAGGAACCCTTTCTTACTGTGTGCACCTCTTTTAGAGACTTCCTTGCCCTACCTTCTCTACCCTATGTAAGGGAAAATCAAGCAAGCAAGAGTTCCTGGATTCCTTTTAGTTTAAACCTCTTAATGTGTATTTCTTATGTCTTGGTCTATGAAAATGCATTCCAGAAGTATGGTTAATAAATTTAACTGTAAGGAATACATTTCTGTGTAACAGACCATGACATGAAACACTAATCAGTATTATAGCACAGGATGCAGTACAGGATGCACTACTTCCTGACATGATATTACATTAGTAGATAGGTTCCATTGATAGCTACTTTGACATTGACAGATGCTTCAGTCTGGATGTTCTTGCTTAGAGAAAGCATGATGTCTGCTGGTTGATCAGTACTGAACCCCTTGTTCAACCTAACAAGGGCTGAGAAATCGATCAGTTTCATTTCTGGAATTCCAAGTGATATGTTGAGTATTTCAGATCTTGACTGGTGAAGACTGGAACGAGGTGATGTATCATGGTATCCAATCTCAGGGCGGTGTCGATACAGGAATGATGTTCTCAATCTATTTCATTGTACTGACCTTGTTCGGTAACTGTATCCTTTATTGAGAAATATATTGTTTTGATATGCTTAAGGAATTAGGATAGTGAAATCTGAGGAGGGAGGTAATAGCTGATGGTTTCAACATCAGGTGTCTAGAAGCGAGGATGCCTTGGTGATCCTTCCACCTTGATTGTTTCTGTGTTGTATGGCTGGAGCAAATCTTTCCTGTTTCACTTTAACCAGTGTAGGGATAGATTGGCTTCCTTTCTAAACAAAAGCAGACATTCCACTCCATCTGTATTCAAGACCCAGAGATGACAGATGAGTTGATACTTCTTTTGTGAAGATGCTAGCTTACTGCAAACTAGCCCAGTCCCATTTCTAAGTATTGAAATTACAGTAATATAAAACATTCCTTCTGAAGATAGTTCTGGAAGAAGATGAACCTACCAGTACTGAAAGAGGCATTAATCTTGGGTGACTACACCTTGAGCAGGTTCACATGACATGACAAGCCATAGTGATTTCTTGTGTGGGATGGTTTGCCAAGGTTGTATGAACCCTGTCATAGTATTTCAACATAGTATGCTTGGGTTTTAGGAACCATGATAAGAAACAATGGTCTGTTCTATGATTTCCATGCAGCACCCTGGTTTGTCTGATCGTCCAAACCTGACATCATGGTTTCCAGGGTCCTGGTATGCAGCTGGCACAGAGTCCACTGGAAAGAGTGGCAGCTGCTGCAGGAATTACTCTAGTCATCCAGCATGTGATTGAATTTAAGGCACAGTGGCTGAAGGGTTACATGCCAACAGTGGGAGGACAGAGCAAGGAGGGTGGAAACCATGCTAGTATAGAAACGATAATCTATCTGGCACATCCAGGCAGAAAAACACACACCATGGAAATTGCACAGGATTGCTTGTCAGAATATGTGGACCTAGCCATTATGTTAATTGCATAGCATGAGCTAAGTATATGCACTTGAAATTAAGTCCAAAAGGTCCTGAATTAGATCAGAACTAGTACACACCGAGAGGAGAAAATTAAATCACCTTTCCATTTGCTTTCTGAAATACTACCCCATCACTGCATGGGAATTTTTTTAAAGGAAAAAAGCCTTCATTAATTCTAATAGAAACTTATTTTCTTTTTTTAAAATCTCTGTGTGGATGTTTGAGAAATGTTGGGAAGCAGATGGCAAGGAAACAAATTCTGCATAGCTATAAATCAAGCTAGCACGTTGAGTCACCTTTGCTAAGTAAGAAAGGTGCAGGCCTGCAGCTGGATGAGTAACTACCTGTGGAAACAGAGCAGGGAGTTGCTCTTGATGGCCTTTTAGGGCCCTTCCAACTCCTGTTCTATTCTGTCCTGTCCTGTCCTATATTATTTTCATGGTGTGCATTGGATTCACAAGTATATATTGCCCAGAGAGAGCGTCAGCTGTTGAGTAGTAAAGAAATAAATACTCTCCATTTTAAAAAAGGAAGATACTCAGCTACATGCTGCACAATTTTCATAATGTGTAATTTGATCCTAAATCTAGGCTTTCTTAAGTAAGCCTTACAAGTTGTCATTTGCCATCTGATTAATTATTGGGGAAAGCCACTGCATTGTAGAATTGGACCTGATTCTTTCAAAATACAGCTTTCCAAGTTTGAAATCATGGCTCTGAAGGTGAGCTAGAAGAGAAAGGATTGTATTGCACTTACTGAATGCCAAGCAGGTGGAGAGGACCAGACAACCTCTGGTTCATGGGGGAAGATGGTTCAAAGAGGATCAGAGAGGGAGGGGTGTGAGTTCATCAATCCAGTTGTTTGTTGTCAAGTCAAAAAAAAAAAAATGGACCAATTAAGTGATGTCTGGTGTTGCCACTGTCTGGGCCACAAGCAGCATTAACCTCTCTGAGGATGGACCCAGCCCCTTTTGGAGGGCAAGGGAGGGGTTTAGTTTGGAATCCACTTCTGATGTGAGCAAAAGCTAACTCTACCAGAGAGATCACTACTTTGATAGATGCTAGTTGTTAACAACTTTATTACCACCTATTCTAAATTACAAAGCTAGCCCTGAGTGGCCAGCCTAGGTCAGTAAAGGGCTGTATTTATTGCATTGATCAGGGGAAGAGGGGAGAGACTTGGCCATGACAGATCTGAAGGAGCGCCTCTTCCCTTACATGCCCTCACACCCCTTACGATCTGCGGGAGAGGCTTTGCTCCAGGAGCCCTCTTTAAAGGAGATAAAAAGAGCAACGACCCGGAGCAGGGCCTTCTCTGCGGTGGCACCCAGGTTATGGAAAGCACTCCCTGGAGAGGTGTGTCTGGTGCTGAGTCTATATTCTTTTCGGTGCCAGGTTAAAACCTTTTTATTTAATGGATATTTTAAAAAATAATTTTATCATTAACAGTCGCTTTTTTGTTTTTATTTTTATATAATTTTACTGTATTTGTTACTGTTTTATTGTTTTAATTCTACATTGTAAGCCGTCCCGAGATGCCAAGGCATGTGGGGATGGCATATAAAAGTTTTAAATAAATAAGTAAGTAAGTAACTCTTCCAATAGTCAACTGCAGTTGGATGGAAGCTGCTTTTGTCTTTGCCTTGACACCCTGCACTCAGACACTTTGCTCAATGTGTTCTTGGCTATCGCTGTGGATAATCTGGCCAATGCGCAGGAGCTTACCAAGGTGGGACTGCTTCTCCACAGTGGGGCATGGTGGGGTACCTGCTTATTCAGTGTGATTTTTCAGAGAGTAAAGGAAAGATGGGGGACTATATCCACAGAAAAGAACCATAAGTGAATGGTTTTCCAGTCAGAGCTAGAGCTGTCCTGGTGGATGTTGGGCCCATGAGGTTGCTTATAGCTCCGTACCAAGACAAGGACACCCTGCGGGTGGTTGTTCTCCTCATACTGTAGCTGCATTTTAGGTGGATATGGACTATCTGTGCTGAACTGGCAGCTGCAATGCCCTGAAAGCAGCATGGGGATTTAGAAAGTGCCACTGCTAATTGCTGCCTCTCCAAGGGTCAGCATGGATTATCTGATCCCAACCCAGCAACCCAGGTGCTAAATCCCCATGCTTCCTGTAGGTATTTTCCCCCTCACTGTCAGTTTAGCCTTACATTTGTTGGGCAGAAGCTGCTCTCCAGATGCATCATAATATTCCCTTTTTGTGCCTGGAAGGAGCATTTTTGCCTCCCTCTTTCATGAATGTTTTTTTTTTTCACTCTGCCCTTGGCCCTCTTCTGATGAACAGAGAGGAAATTCAGCCCCTTTCCTCATTGGAGAAGGAATCACAGGACAATTAGGAACAAATCCATTATTGTCCTAGTCTCAGTACTTGCTGCCATTGGCCTTCCCCATGAACAGGAAGTGTTCAGAGAAATGGGCGCAAAGTGCTGCTTTATGGTGTTGGGGAATGGGCAGCAGTGTTTAACAGAAGGATTCAGGATGGTGGCAACTCCTCTATAATGTCTGGGTTTCACAGGATGAACAAGAAGAAGAAGAAGCAGCCAACCAGAAGCTTGCCCTCCAGAAGGCAAAGGAAGTAGCAGAAGTAAGCCCTTTGTCTGCAGCCAACATGTCAATAGCAGTGTAAGTTGATTGATTGACCTTTGTTCCACATAAGCATTTCCGAGCTCGACAATACAAAGCAAAGCAGGCTTACATGCAGTTCTGAATTCCAAAGGATGGCTTCCAGCAAGGGTGAGAGAGAACCTCTGTGGTCCTGTAGTGCTTTGGAAAAACTTCCTTATGGTAGGAAGAGTACTCCAATCCTAGCCTTCCCAGCAAGCGCTGTTGGCTCTTTCCATGTCAGCACAGGGCAATATACAGAAACATAGGGCAAGGAAGTTATTCTAGATTTGATATCACTAATATGAAGCATTACAAAGTAGGAGTAGTGAAGACTATATGGCTGATTTTCAGTTCTTCAACCTAGGCAGAAAGATCATCCAGAATTTCCCAATGAGAAGTCAGTGTGGATTGATAGGGAAGAGAAAGAGAGTTGGGAGAGGCCCGAGGCCAAAACAAGTTCTAAGAAATATTTTCTGTCACAGCAGCAACTCCTCCTTTTCAGCCTAATTCCGTCTGGCCAGTGGGGACAGCAGAGGCCGAAGGAAAATCTCGATGGCCAGGTCATGGCTGTGCACATCTGGGCTTCTGTGCAGCATTCCTGGCCATGCTAGCAGCAGCATGTGAACCAAATTCTTCCTTTAGGCTTGCATGTTGCTTCCACCATCAGCAACACCACACGCAACAGGAAGGTTGCATTTTAAGATCTTATTTACCACCATAAATAAGAGAGCCAGTGTGGTGTAGTGGTTAAGAGCATGGGACTCGGAGTCAGACAATCTGGGTTCTAGTCCCCGCTCAGCCATGGAGCCAACTGGGTGACTTTGGGCCAGTCACAGACTCTCAGCCCAACCTACCTCATAGGGTTGTTGTTGTGGGGATAAGATGGAGGAGGAGAGATGATGTAAGCTGCCTTGAGCCCTTTGTAGGAAAAAGGCAGGATATAAATCGAAAAATAAACCTTTGGCTGTTATGCAGGGTAAATCTGGCTGCCTCTGCAGTGGTGGTGGTAGGGAAACAATTCATGGACTGGGCACAGATGAACCCAATATAAGTGCCAAAGAGTTAGTACTATAGCATGAAAATTGAAACCATGGAGAAAATTACATTTGATCATATTAGTAGGCCAGACTGCTGGTACTGAGGGAGTTTTTCAAGAATCTTTGTTTTTGTCTTCAGAAAAGAACAGCAAAAGAACCAGAAAAGCGGCAAATCAGTCTGGGAGCAGCGGACAAATGAGATGCGGAAACAAAACCTGTTGGCAAGCCGGGAGGCACTGTACAATGAGCTGGATCCTGAAGATCGCTGGAAGGTCTCATATGCCCGGCAAATGCGGCCGGACATGAAAACCCACTTAGACAGACCATTGGTGGTTGATCCTCAGGAGAATCGGAACAACAACACCAACAAGACACGCCCCACTGAGCCACCCTTGGACCCCCACTTTGGACAGCAGCAGCCTGAGGAGTTCTTGCGAAAGCCACCCCGATACCATGAGCATGCACGGGATCCCCACATGTATGAGCGCCCCAACTCAGGGAGCTTGGAGCCACGACGGCCACGGAGCAGCAGCAAGGAAATTGACTTCAGCCAGGAAAGTGGGTACCATGAAATAGACTATCCTAGCAAGGAGCATAATGCCATCCTTGAGCATGGTTACTGTGGCGACTGTGACTCTGAGCGCATCAAGGCCTTGGACCCCCATCGCCGGCACCGAGGTGGCAAAGAGAGCCGAAGTGGATCACCCCGTACAGCTGATGGTGATCGGGAGCTCCGACGGCATCGAGCTCACCGCCGGACACCAGATGAAGGAGGTCGTGAGGAGAGCAGCAAAGCTGAGCGTCGGCCTCGGCACCGTGAGGGGAGCAGGCCTGCACGGGGTGATGTGGATGGGGAGCAACCCGAGGGGGAAAGGCGCCGACGGCACCGGCACACTGCTCAGTCTACCTACGATGTTGATGGCAAGGAGCGCCGGCACCGGCGCAGGAAGTGAGTAAAGACAGAAAGGGGGGCATGATCATCGGAGGACCCTCTGAAGTAATGGGGCAGGACTCATTTCCTTCAGAATGCCAATTTGCTTAAGCCTAAACTCAAAGTTAAAATATTACTTGCTCCTTGACTGGGGGAACAGATGTTCAAGTTTGCTAAAGTGAGGACAAGTCAGGTACTTCAAAGAGATAAAAAATTATCCACTAAGAGAAGTATTGGTGTATAGAACATGAGCCTCTCTGGAAAGGCTCCATTATTAGAAGGTGCGCATATATATGTGTGTGTGTGTGTGTGTGTGTGTGTGTGTGTGTTCAAGGTGAAATATTTTTCCTAAACCTGCCATTCTGCTTATCTACCAGTGTATCAGAGCCAGGAGCCAGTACAGAAAGTATAGTTTGTTTTTGTTTTTAGTGAGAGTTGATTACCTCGTTATGTCTGTCTGTACTGGAGGAGGTTGGACAGCTGAAGCATAGTTTCTAGGGACAGGAGACAAGCAACATGGGAATGAAGTGACATCAGTCATCCCTGACACAAAGGGTAGTTTGCATAATGCAACTACATTTTGTGTTCACTGCGAGATAGCTCTGGCTGGCTGAAAGTGAGCAGCGGGGAGGGGCTAGGGCAATATAGCAAGGCTGGCGTAGTCTGCATTGAGCAGTAGGCAGTGTACAGGTAATGTTTGTGTTGGGTATGGATTGGGAGAATGGTCATGGGAACTGGAGACTGCAAGCCTTGCTTCTTGCCAGGCTGGTTGTCTCAGTGAACTGTGCACAGCAGTGTATCAACCTTTTTTTGTATGCTACAGAGAGAATCAAGGCTCTGGCCTCCCACCTGGACCAAACCTATCCACCACACGACCAATCCAACAGGATATGGGACGCTTGGAGCCCCCTGTGGCTGAGGATATCGACAACATGAAGAACAATAAGCTGGCAACCAATGAGACCTCAAATCCACATCCAGTCAGTCATCCTCAGAACCCTACCAAAGGAGGCAGCCACTCAAATTCCACACCAAGTCGCACCCTCCAAAATCCACCTGTTCCTTTGGACCAGCCACCCCCCAACTCTCAAAACTCTACCAGTCGCCGGGCCCCCAGTAACCCTGCCAATCCCGCCAGCCCTGGACTACCTAAGAACCCTGAGAACAGCCTCATTGTCACTAACCCTGGGACCCAGAACAATCCGCCTAAAACTGCCAAGAAGCCAGAACACACAGTGGTAGAAGTCCCACCTGCCTTCCCCCCACCAGTCAACAATGCTGTCATGCAAGGTAAGCACCAAATGTGTTGTATCACTGGAGCATGGGCTAGACCCAGGCAGCATGCACACCAGGCAAAAGGATTAGGGTCACATGCATTTACCATCTGGATGGATACAATTTCATAAGGGAAAGAATTAGAACCACTCAGTATGGGCAAAGGAGAGGGAGTGTTGGATCCACCTATTCTGGTGAAATTTATTAATATTTATTTTATTTATTTATTAAAACATTTCTATGCCACCCCATTCGCCGAAGCCTCGGGGCGGCTCACAACATTAAGTTAAAATGCAAAAAATATCAATATAAAATAAGTCGCCCTGGCCAGATAAAATCAAATAATATTAACAATTAAAATGACGCTTAAATAAAAAGGTCTTCGCCTGGCGCCGAAAAACAAATAACGACGGCGCCAGGCAGACCTCTTTGGGGAGCGCATTCCATAGATTAGGCGCCACCACAGAGAAAGCCCTCCTCCGAGTACCTACCCTCCTAATTTCTTTCACGGAGGGTTCCTGGAGAAGGGCCTCTCCCGCAGATCTCAAGGGGCGGGCGGGCATATATGGATGTAAGAGCTCCTTCAGGTAACCAGGACCCAAGCCGTTTAGGGCTTTATAGGTCATCACCAACACCTTGAATTGGGCCCAGACTTCATTGGGAAGCCAGTGAAGCTGACGGAGGACTGGAGTCATGTGAACATAACGCCCAGTCCCCGTCAGCAGCCTGGCAGCTCTATTTTGAACCAATTGAAGTATCCAGACCGTCTTCAAGGGTAGCCCCACGTAGAGCACGTTACCGAAGTCAAGGCGGGAAGTCAATAAATTGTATTAATATCACAACAGTGTGCATACTGATGAGAAGGTTTTGTACCATTAGAGTGTGAGGCAGGAGGAAGTACCTGTTACAGGTAACAGCAAAAACAAAAACAAGCCATAAAACTTTAAAGGCAGATTAAGTCCTGTCCACTTGCTCATACTTCTGTAATAACCCTGCCATCACCTGTGTTACTTTAAACTATGTGTGTGTGTGACTAAAGGATATGGATATTTTGAAAGTGTGCATCAGCCCCAAGAATTCTTTCTGTCTGTATTCCTGTGACCCTGAGTTGGAAAGGTACGCATTTTCACGTGCTTCATGATACCTGAATGTCTTTGCTTATAAATCTGTTCGTTCTGGCACATCCTACAGGTGTATTTTGCTTCTCAGGCAGACTGCCTATAAGCCTGTCACAGGGGGCTGAGAATATGCCACAGTTATATGACAAAGAAGAACTGCTATATTCTCAGACTGCTGAGAACTGCAATGCGCAAAGCAGAATGTACATAAATCACACATGGGTGTTATCAAATAAAGGCGTAAATATGGAGGGGGGCTTTATTAATTGTAAGTTGTCTCAAGCATTTTATATGGAAAGCTGTCAGCTGAACGCAAGGAATGAATGGATAAATGTTTGTGGCTCCGGTTGATCTGGAGTCCTGTGTTTTAGTATGTTACATATAATGGCTAATGTAGTATTGACTAGAACCATGTATGCATAGTGCATGTGTGCCACTGCTGTGTGTGTGTCCATGTGAATGGGATGGTAAAGAGCTCTGTATGTCTGACTGTGCTGAAGTGTTTCCGCAGATGAATGAGTATGCAGGTATCCATTTCCTAAGGATGTCTGTGTCTGAGTCTTGTGTGCTCATGTTTGTGCATTCAAAACTTGGGTGTCTATATTTTGCATGCTCTGGACCTGTATAGCCATATGGCAGTGTATTCTGTGGTACATTCTGGTTCCCAGATATGTCCCTGTCTTTCACCTCAACTCCTCTGGAATTACCTCTCTGAAGAAGACCCATTCTTGTAGACTGATTAACCCAGGTTTCTCCATATTCAGCCTTTGATGCTGTAACTCTCACTGTGGAGAGAACTGTGAAAGAGAACACATCAAAGCTGATACGATCCTCATTGTCCTTCTCCTACTTGCCAGTCAATAAGAATGCCAATCCTGAACCTTCGCCCAAGAAAGAAGAAGAGAAAAAGGAGGAAGAAGATGATGATGGCGGGGAGAATGGGCCCAAGCCCATGCCCCCATACAGCTCTATGTTCATCCTCTCAACCACTAACCCGTAAGTATTTGTTGCCATGCTACAAACTAAAAGCAATTGGACTTGGCATAGCAGGACTGGGTATCTGGTCCACAGATGGTTAGGATGTGAACATGGGATACTTGACTACATTGTGTTTATGATTTGACTCAAAGGATGGGGGAAGGCTGGATAATTCGATGCCTGTGTTCTCCAGCCTCTGATTTAGTTCAGACCCATGTTTCTGAACTTGGACAGGGTATAAGGTATATCATGCTGACTGGATCCAGAAGACAGTGCAGATATGCTAGGATGTTAGGCTTATAAACCAGAAAAGGGGCAAAGATGATAACAGGTAGTTATCAACTGCTTTGATTATTTTTAAATACAAATTAATAAAAACTTTGCTCATGTGCTTTTTATCTGACACAATAGATGGCACTTTATAGATGCTTGGCACTATAAAGCCTCTTGATAGAGTATGCTTCTGCTTATCTATATTAGGTTTCGGCGGCTCTGTCATTACATTGTCAACCTGCGCTACTTTGAAATCTGCATACTGATGGTGATTGCCATGAGCAGCATTGCACTGGCTGCTGAAGACCCTGTCCAGCCAAGTGCTCCCCGTAACAATGTAAGTCCTTCCTGTGTTCTTTATCCATCACCACCCTCTTTGCCAGCATTTGCTCTTGCTCTTAGCCATGAAGATAAATCATGGGATAGTGAAATAGTTATAGCCAGTTCTAAAAAGCTCTGCACTTCACTGGGGAGGCTGCACCCCTAAACAAAACTTAGAGGGCACTGCTTTGGCTCACCTTAGCTGGCCATGTGCAGCAAGAGGTGCCGCTACAAAAGCAAGCAGTCTCATCACTGGAGTGGCCCTTGCAATGACTCTTTGCTCCTAGGTCCAGTTTGTTAGTTCTGACCTGGAATGAAGCTGGAAGCTGGACAATATCACAGGAAAGGCTCCCACGCACAATTGCTTCTTAGTCAGCTGCAGTAGATATCTACCTTCCACATCTTTATTGGCCTACTATGCTGCTTTCCCTCTTCTCCTTCGCAGTTTGCCTACATTTCCCTTGATTCCACAGCCAGTACTAGAATTCATTGTATGTACCAAGGTGAATTAATTTATCACTGAGCAGCACCTCACCCCAGTGCCCAAGTAAGATTTATGTTACATTATGCATTGTACAACCTTCTCTAGGTTCTGCCCACAGCTAGGATTAGTGATCATCTTGGAACTGTACTGGGAGACAACAGTTGCGATCAGATCGGCGTGAATTCCAGAGCTCAGCATATCATTAAAGGGCTTTGTGATTGCTTCACAATGCATTTGCAACTTCAGCCATATATGGGCATCAAGGACATGACATGAATGAATGAGTGAAAGTCAGCCCTCGTGATCCTATTGCCCTTTGACAGACCTTGATTCCTTACACTTTATCCTGACTCTGTAGCTTCCTAGCTGATTGGGATAATCTAACTGACAGACCTAGTAGGGTAAATTACCAGTGTCACATCAAGTGTCAAATTCACAAATTTCTCGTTTCCCCAGTGGGTGAAATTCTGTGTCATTCTTAGCAATGAGTTCCTTTGAGACAGGAAGTCCCTATGTTTCCAAGACTTGAAGGACTGCTTCATATATGGATGGTTTTTTTCTGCGTGCATAATACTTACATGAGGCAAAAGGTTGCATACCTTCATATGCTACAACTGTTCAAGTGTGTCTGTGCGTGTGTGTGCGTGTGCGTGCAAGCATGTTTGTGCATGTGTGTATGTGTGTATGTGCCACCAATACACTTTTGCAAATTTGTTGCTATTAATATGTGCATATTTTCCACACAGAATCACTGGGAAATTATTGCATGTAAATAAGAATGAAATGTGGTAGTAGTATGTGGAATGTCTGTACCTGCCCTTTAAAAGTATTTAAAATTGTGATTTAAGGTGGGTTTGTTGTTCAGATGACTGATTTTTATACTGTCATGAGCAATGCTGTTTCCTAATGCTGTCTCTTATTAACCGCAATGATAAATATCAGAATAAGTGGGAAATTGGCATTAAATAGTTATACTATATACCAGTGGTGGCGAACCTATGGCACGTGTGCCACAGTGGGCACACAGAGCCCTCTCTGTTGGCAAGTGAGCCAAGTTGCTCCAACATCGCCCCAGCAGCTGAGCATCGTATAACAGCGCACATAGGGCCCATGCTCGGAAAGGAGTAGTGGCACCAGGCGATGATGTCACGAGCCGCAATTCATTAGCCACAACTCATACGAGCTTTCACATGACCGGTCAGTGCACTGCCAAGGATATATGTATTTGCTTGGACTGGCTGTGAGTTGTTTTTTCTAAATCAAAACCTCAGTTTTCAGGTTTTATTGCAGTGTTGGCACTTGTGATAAATAAGTGGGGTTTGGGTTGCAGTTTGGGCACTCGGTCTCGAAAAGGTCCGCCATCACTGTACTATACTATACTATACTATACTATACACTTTCAGACATCATGGTTTCAACCCAGTTTGCAGCTAAGGAGTTATATAATTCTGTTTGTGAAAATTATCAAGATGACTGTGTTAACCAGAAGGATTTATGAAATCCTTGAGTTCACTCTCTTTGCAAAAGATCCTCTTTTAAACATAGAGTGCAAACAAAAATCATCCAGTTTCTGATAGACAAGGAAAGAGAAATGGAGAAAGTTGGAGATGAAGTTAGCAGATGTGAAATTACATACCCTAGCCTCCTCAGATTCTAACCTGGGCTGCACTTTGTATCTTAAAGAGAATCTCCAGGATAGCAGAAAAGGCCTTGATTCTGTTAGTCCTGCAGCTGAACTGACTCTTGCTGAGAAGTTACCATTCCAAGGATTCTATCAGTTTCCTGACAAGTTTAAACAGTCTTCAGAGTAATCCTTCAGATAGAGCTAACCAGTTAGTGGAACTACTGCTAAGGCAAATTTTTGAGTTTGCTTCAAGTGGAGGGAAAGAATCCAAAAAAGAGGTTTTAGAAGAAAGCAAGAAAGAGGTACAAACTCAAATCTGCATGACAAAGGAGCAAGGTATACCAGTTGTAAAGTACCTCACAATGTTAACTCAGGATACTGAATATAGTAGATTTTATTTGGTTGAGTGTAATAAATTGAGGGCTCTTTTAACCAAAATTTGAGAAACTACCTAGATAAGAACCAATAAAGAGACTTGTGAACAAGTGACTAATAACAAATTACTTCGAAGTAACATAAATATGCTGGGGGGGTGGGGGGGAGTGTGCCAAAAGAGATTGGAAAAGGCAGCCACAGTTAAGAAGAGTAAAATGTAAATAATGCAAAATAATTTAAAGTGAAGTTCTTATAAAAATGGATTATGGGAATTTCAGATCACTAGATAATAGCGCAAAACTGAAATTCATTTAGAATCTCAGGGATCCTCTTAAGAGAAAGGAGTAAAACCAGCCTTTGCCAGATTGCATCCTGATGTTGCAACAGGGATTCTGACCCCTGCTGGTGCAAATGCAGAGCACTGGCACCCAGGACCTATTGGCACAAGTCCTCTCAGTAATTAAAACATCTCTGAGGATGATTGCAAAGGAGTTACTTGGAAATTAGTACTAAATCAACTGAAGTTTATTTTATCAAACTGCACCAAACCAAGGGGGATTCTGTTGCAGTATGAACAAAAATTACATCTTTTGAAATTTGTGGGTGTGATTCTTCCAGAGATTATTTTTCTTTACAACCGCTTTGCATGGATACAATATTTATATTTCAGCTTTCATGCTAATGCAGTAGTCACATTCTGCAAATTGTGCTCTGCCAAGATGGTGTTTGAGTGTAGGGATTTATTAGGTCAGAGTAGCATACCAGTCTCCAGATTATTTGAGAACTGGGTACCTCCTGTTTTGTTGCACCTCCACTGAGAGAACATACAAAAGCTGAGAAAAACTTCTCACAAGAACTTTATATAATGCCTGAAATAAACTTAACATTCATGGAGGTTTTGATGAGCCAAAGCTATGGGAGTCTCAACACCTTGGTGATTCTGGGCAATGACTGAATTTCCAGAAGTTGAGGAGCAGGACCTGTTAGAGTCCTTCTCTGCCCTTGCCTTCTGAGGCACAAATGAGGTCACTAGTTGACTTGACTTAACTTTCAAAATCTTGAAAGCTCAATGTCCTTTCAAAAATCTTGCTCCCTCATTGACCATGGCAAAAAATACTGCTGACTTGATATGAGATAAGATAGTTGAATGTGGCTCTCCCATGGAGGCAGTTGAAATGAGACAATATGCTTCCAATTCATGCTTGCCCAGTAGTTTCAAATGTGAGCAAAATGAGCCCAGCTGTAGGAGCTAGCCACTAAGTAGGATAAGTAATGAAGGCAATAGGCTTACTTAAGGGAAAGGAAAGGGTCCAAAAAAGAAGTAGAACTATTTTCATAGACACTGGAAGAGCAACTCTCTCATAAAGTAGCCCAAAGGACTCTCCCTTTAAGTCCTGAGACTTAAAGGATCCAGCAGGATCAGATCCTGTACTCTGAGCTACTCTGTTGATAAGATTTTACATATCTCAGATTGACCCATTTTATGCCATCAGAATTCACAAATGTTAATCTTTTCTTGAGACATTGCAAGGCTGCCAATCCCCTTTTTGGGACTTCGTTAGAGGTTATGATAGCTTACTGGTACAAGACATGGGTAAGGGAGGAGTTAGAAGTGAATGGCTTTGTAACTTAGTCATTAATAACATAATGTAGTATCAAGGGAGGTCATCCTAAAGGAGTCTTGGAATAGGTCCTGCCCCTACCTGTTTTATTTACTTGTACTGATTATATCAGTGTGCATACCAGTGGACCAGGGCCTTGCCAATATTACTCTACTATGCCAAAAATAAAAAATCTTTCAGAGGACCAGTCAGTCTAGTGAGAAGTGTTGGCAGGTTGTATGTTAGTCATCTCAAGAAACTCACATGCTAGATAGAAGAGGAAAACTTGTGGTAAGATGAACAGGCAAGCTTTAGACCATGGCAGTGAAGGCTCTCTCCCTCTGACCAAAGACGTCTGTTACAACAGCTGCTTGAAAATCTTTCTTCAGCATTCTGAGGTGCACCCTGCATAACCTTTATTGATTTAATGGCTGCTTTCAATTCATTTCTAAAGGAAAGGTTATGCTAAAAACTCGAGGCCACTAACATTGATAGGCCATTGTTAATTCTCATTCATAGCCTCTGTGATAAAACCTGGTTGCAGGTAGGATGCAACCGTATGGGCTACTTGACACGACCAATTCCAGTTTGCACTGGTGTTAAAGAGGATGGTGTTCTTACTCCTACACTGTTAGCGTCTATATCAATTCTCTGGTCAAAAGATATGCTGAGATAAATTGCCATACTTCCAAGCTTGCACAAGAAATGTGCCTGTATTATTATATGCAGATGATACAGTGTTTCTCTCTCTGACATGCATTTGTGTGAGGGGGTTTATTAAGTTTTGACACTTACCGTCAAACTGAAAAGCTGGTGATTAACTATACCAAATCAAAGTTACAGTTTTTACTCCAAAATGGAATAAAACCAATTCAACTGCACCCTAACTACTTCAATCATCCTAAATACAGCAGAGCATTCACATTAGCAACATTTAATGTGTTTCCTTCTGCCCTGTTGAAGGGCAGATCTAACAGCATTTCACATTCTGAGTGCCTGTGCTCTTGTAAAGTTGCCATGATAGGGATGGTGAGCCATGTTCTGCTGTACGGCTCCTTGTAGTGTGATTTCAGTTGTATTTTCATTATTCCTGTTTTGCAAGGGGTACCTGGGAAAGCTAATATGTTATATATAGACTAGCTTGAATGGAAGCCACAGGTAACTTCTAAGATGGCTAGATTTTCTGCTTCTGCAATTGCTGGATAATGCCTTAAATTGTTAAACTGGTTATTATTACCTATACATTATTGCATTGATACTGTTGCTTTATCTGTTGACTGGTACATTATAGTGTGATAGTATTATAATAATAATAATATTATTCACAGTGCTGTTTTATCTTGCTAGTCTTACGACCATACCAAAATAAAATAAAAATAGACTGTTTAGGCAAAATGCAAAACTCTTCTTCCCAATCTCTCTTTCTCAGAAATGTTGTTGGGTTTAAATAGGTTAGGAGAGAGGCATGACAGAGAGGGAGAGAAAGAAAGAGAAATAAATCATGGGCTCACTGTGCTAGCAGCTTATGCTGCATTTTCTTTTTCAAGAACTTTGCTGGACAGGTCTTGTGAGATTTCCCTAAGGAAAAATGAGTGAAATAATTAGAGCAGCATCCCCACTGAGGATGGGCAGGAGCTAAGGGCTCTACTTTAGGATTCTCTGTTTCATGCAGTAACAAGAAACCTTTGTGCTGGCATGAACAAAAAAGCAATGGAATGCAGCACCCCTTCCCCAAAAGAAGGATGCAGAATTTTAGCTTCCAGCTAAACACAGGGACAATCCCATCCAGAGCAGCCATTTAGCTCTAGTTATACAACTGGGGTGATTCATTTGCCAAGAAAATTGAGCAGTCTCTTGGTTGAAGGTTTGTGGTGGCAGAAGAAGGTGATGTTTCAGTGTGATTGCTCATCCAAAGCAGAAATATGTGATGGCATGGGCTAAGGAGGAGGCAAGCCAGCTCCCCCAGTCCCTCTTCCTTGTTCTTCACTGCTGGCACCCAGGAACTACATTTATTCCCTAACTGTCTCTACCAAACTGCCCTTTAACCATTGGCACTGAAGTATTAGCCCCTTATGAATAACAAGAACTCAGTTTGGAAGTGGTTGCTGAAGGAGGACTCCTGAAGATGACCTCAGGGTCTGGGTAGGTACATATGGGAGGAGGCAATCCTTCAGATAACTTGACCCTAAGCTGTTTAGGGCTTTGAATGTTAGTACTAGTGCTTTGAATTGGGCTCAGACTTCAACTGGTAGCCAGTGTAGCTGGAAGTGTTCTTGTGAGCCAGTCCCTGTTAACAGTCTTGCTGCCCTGTTTTGGATCAGTTGAAGTTCCCAGACCATTTTCAAAGGCAGCTCCATTTACAATACATTGGAGTAATCCAAATGAGAGGTTACCAGAGCATGGATACCTGTATCTAGGCTTCCTCTCTCCAGAGAGGGTCAAAGTTGGCATATCAGCTTAAGCTGATAAAATATGCTCCATGCCACAGGGTCCACTTATGCCTCAAGTGACAATGCTGGGTCCAGGTGCACCCCCCCCAAAGTATAAATTTTGCCCTTTGGGGGAGTGCAACTCCCATCTAGAAGAGGTTGAATATCACTCAACTGAACTACCCAGTAACAATAACTCTACCTTGTCTGGATGAGTCTCTCTCTCTCTCCCTCCTCCCCCTCCCTCCTTGGCTTTCAGGCAGTCCTTTACCATGACCAGACACTGCTTCACCTTGGTTTGATGAAAGACAGAGGTAGACTGAGTGTCATCCACATATTGATGGTACCTCAGCCCATACATCCGGATAGCCTCCTCCAGCGCCCAGAACACTTGCTGGAATTGGCTGGCCAAGTAGGAATGGAACCCCTGCAATGCAGTGTCTCCTACTCCTAGTTCAGCCAGCCTATCCAAAAGGGTACCATGGTCAATGGTACTGCAAGCCGCTGAGAGGTTCAGAAGAATCATCAGTGTCACACTCCCCCTGTCTTTTTCCCAGCAAAGGCAATCCCATAGGGCGAACAAGGCAGTTCCTGTTCCAAAACCAGGCCTGAAGCCTTATTGAAATGGATCTAGATAATTGGTTTTATTCATGAGTTCCTGGAGTAATTCAGCCACCACCCACTCAAACAGCTTGCCCAGGAAGGGGATATTTGCCACTGGCCTAAAGTTAATAATGTCCTCTGGGTCCAGGTTAGGCTTTTTCAAGAATGGCTTAATACAGCTCCTTTTAAAGAGGCTGATACTACTCCCTCGCTCAAGGAGAAGTTTACAACCTCCTGGACCCAAGTTGAAATCCCTTCCTTAATGGTTGCAATAAACCATGAGGGGCAAGGGACAAGCACACAAGTGGTGGGCCAGATTTGACCTTGTCCTCAGGCCTCAATAATTGTAGCATGAGCTGTGGTGCCAAATTCATGCTGATTCCAAGAAATGTTATCTTTAAAGTGCTGTGCAAATCCATTGCAGTGAGCTACTGAAGGCTCCACAATTTCTTTCTCTGGTCCAGAATATAATAGGGCACGAACCACTTAGAAAAGCTCCACTGGATGACACTGAAAAGACAGGATGCTGGTGGAAATAATGAGCTCTAACCCATGTTTAATCAGACTAAGCATAAGTTTTCCTCCTCCTGCACTCTAGCCATCTCCCCCCTGCTTAGAGTCCTCAACTCAAGTGTATAGCAAGGAGCTGGCTGGGTTCTCTCAAAGGAGGAGGGCACTTGGGTGTGATTGTGTCAACTGCCTGAGCCATCTCAGAGCAGCCTAGGCTTCAGCAGCAACACCAGCCAGAAACCTCCCCCAGAGTCCTCTGGAAGCTATCAAGATCCATTAGCCTCCAGGGACAGACCATTTTAAAAAGTTCCCCACCCTTGCAGAGGGGAAAGGGAGCTGAAGTCTAGACCTCAGTAGGAAGTGATCTGACCATGACAAGAGGGTTGATGTTAATTCCCCTACTTCCAGATCACTATCCTCCTGCCCAGTTGAGAAAACCAGATCAAGGGTGTGTCCTTTTACATGCATTGAGCCAATAACATGTTGAAACAAGCCCATGGTTGTCATTGCATCCATGAAGTCCTGAGCTGCCCTGGATACAGCAGCCTCGGCATGAAGATTAAGATTCCCCAGAACCATCATCCTAAAGACCTTCACACCAAGTCTGAGACCACTTCTATCAGCTCAGGCAGGGAATGGGCAGCGGGGTGGCCCCTCATGGTACTACCATGTTGGCGATGCATCCATTTATTTGGAGCATTATCATGCTATGATTTTATGACAAGCTGATTTGGTTGACACAAAACAACTGTTTTATCAGCCTTTTTAATAGACATGGTGTCCTGTTTAAAACCCATTTTATGTGTACTGGCCTGCCTCCCTCCCTCAAATTCTCCCCTTTCATAACAGCAACATCAAAAGCCAAGGGGCAAGTGGAGTTAGGTATTATGTTTCCTTAGTTTATTCCACAAATTGTATGATTATGTGATGATGGTGGTGATCATGGGAGAAGGGAGATTTAGAAGCCTCAGAGTGAAGATATGGATTCCTGTGATATTCATACATCTTTCAGTAAACAAGTGGCCAGAATGCAATGTGGATTGCCCCAGCGTTCTGGATAACCTACAAAGCCTGCTCTCTGCTGTCTGTGATGTTGAACATTTTCCTGTGAGTGCCACTGACTGGAGTGTATTTAAGAACAAGATGTACGCCCTTCAGATTGGACTCAAAATAAGAGCCAAGATCACAATTGGTCACAGTTTTGGTTAGGATTCATGACTCTGAAGGGATGGGCAAAACTAAGCCTATATCTCTAATTCTTTTCTCTCATTTCTTCTTATAGGTTCTCCGTTATTTTGACTATGTCTTCACAGGTGTCTTCACCTTTGAAATGGTTGTTAAGGTTAGTAATTTGGTGGAGAGTGTGTTTCCCGTGTCATTGTGCACCAGAGAATGTCAAGACAGCAGGACACGGCTGTGCAATGCTGCAGGAGGGGTGCACTGAACCTTTGTTTGTGAAAATATCTGAAACAAAGTCAGCCTTTGCAGGGCATGAGACATGCCCCTAAAAACCTCTAAAGGATCATTTTCCACATATAATTTACTGTTCCCAGCAATTGTCCCCTATCGCAGTTGCTCCTCTGGTGCCGTTTTCTTCAATAGTGCAATCTTATTTCACCCAACCAGGTGTTACATAGTGAGAGTTACAATATTATGGTGATTCATGGCCAGTTGGATTTGCAAAACCTCCAAAGGCAAACTGGCACAGCATTGTCCTCACTTGCAGTCAGTAGGGGTGTGTGTGGAGGGGACTGTTTTCTGTTGTCAGAGTAGTTTCATTGCAGCCAGGGCTCATCTGCTTGGTTGCCTTGGCAACAGGAACACATTTGTTCCCAGATAGCAAACAAAGCTCTTCAGGTGTATGCAGAATGCTCACAATTCTCTCTCTCTCTCTCTCTCTCTCTCTCTCTCTCTCTCTCTCTCTCTCTCTCTCTCTCTTACACACACACACACACACACACACACA